AGGAAGCTATGAAACATTTGACCAGGTTTCTGTCAGAGGATGTAGGAAAAGAGATTTATGAACTCTGGGAAGTAAGTTTCAGCGTTTAAAATTATTAATGGATTTTTTTTTCTAAAGTAATGTTAAAAATTAATTATACTCAAAACAATGGTTTGGGGAAAGCAGACTGCTCAGTAAACAGTTTTGCATGAAAGCCACCAGCAATTTAAGGAATCTCTTTCTACTGCTCTTTGTAAAATTCAGGGTAATTGTTGTGCAGCTAAAATTGAGAATTATAAAGTGCAGTTAGCAATTTGAAGTATACACACTTAACATGATCAGGATACTTTGTCCATCCAGGTGACCTCTTTCCTTAGTTTTTGCTTAAGAGCTTCAAAGAATGAGTTATATTCTTATGGTCACATTAGAGCATATTTGTTTTAATTTGGGGAAATACTGTGTTTCATGAAATAATGTGTGTAGTGGATGATAGGAAACAGAATACTTTTCATAAATATTATTTATTATTGGAATTATATCCCTGCTTCAATGAACCAAATCTTTATTAGGGTCATAGACCAGCATAAGAAGGGTAGAATACAAAAAATTATTAACTTTAAAAGCTAAAAAATATAAAATACCCATGTTAAAAGAACATTTTAATAAGATACAAACATGCACCCTACAGAAATTAGTAAAAATGTATTTATATCTGTCTGTCTGTCTGTCTGTCTATCTATCTATCTATCTATCTATCTATCTATCTATCTATCTATCTATCTATCTATCTATCTATCTATCTATCTATCTATCTATCTATCTATCTATCTATCTATCTATCTATAGAGATAGATAGATAGATAGATAGATAGATAGATAGATAGATAGATAGATAGATAGATAGATAGATAGATAGATAGATAGATACAGATATAGATACAGATAGATATATAGATACACACACACACACACACACACACACTCTGCCTGGTTTTTCAACATTCAATATTTACAGTAATGAAAAATATAAAGCATAAAGGAAGATTAATACAGTTACAATTACAGATTTGGGAGGATGGTAATTTTAATTAACAAAACATTTTGAAGTGATTAAAATAGTTAACAATGCAGATCTTCCATCATAAGCATCATGTATACATAGTCCTCGACTTACAACTATTTAATGACCATTCAAAGTTATGATGGTGTTGAAAAAAGAGACTTACGACCAGTCTTCTTCAAACTTACCGTTGCAGCATCCCTGTGCTCAGGTAACTTTGGATGCTTGGCAACTGGTACATATTTGATAGTTGCAGCATCCTGGCATCACATGACTGCCATTTACGACTTTCTCAGGGTTCATAACATGGGGGAGCCTATTTGCTTAATGACCATGTGATTTCCTTAATGGCCATGGTAAAAAAAATGTTGAAAAAGTGAATTGATTCATTTAGTGACTGCATCTATTTAGCGATGAAAGTTTTGGGCCTGATTGTGGTTGTAAATCAAGGACTATCTGTAATGCTATACTTTGCCACTTTTCAAGAGCAGCCCTTAGTTTGGTCAGATTGTATCCAAGAGGTAAAAGGCTGTTGCTAAGTCCAACTGGCTTAGAAAAGTTTGCATGCCTGCAAGTCTGCAAATCACAATCTGCAAATGACCATTGATGGTCAAGAAACATTCAAAAGATGCAAAGGTGTTCTTTCTGGAGCACAATCTCATTCAGAAAAAGCTTCAGCTCAGTACCAGAGTAAAACATTCCCCTTACCATCAGCACCTCTATTTTCTCTGGATTTTATTTCAACTTAATTTCAGGTCAGCTCTCATTTAGGCCATTTTTTTTCAAGTGAGGTAATATTTTCCTTAGAAATGATTGGGAAGAGAAATGGTATTGTTTATCTGTTAAACAGTGTGCATGTGAGTGAATAAATGTAAGATTCACTTAAAACAGAGTTTGTTTAGGAAGATTTCAGCTCATGCTACGTGTGGAGAATTACAATTTCAACAAGGGTTTAGCAAGATTATCTCTCTAGCAACAAAAGAGAGTTTCAGAATACATAGTTTCCACATGAACTAAGTGAAGAGAGGCATTCTACTGGAAAAATACCAGGAGAGATGAAAGAACTGCTTTGAGGCAACTGGTCAAATCTTGTTGAAAGGTATCAAAATGAATAGGCACACTAGTCCTTGGAAGCCACTGCATTGAAGAAGCATTCTGTGTAGGCCACCTTGATTGTTCTGGAACTCAAATTTAACCTTTGCACTGTGAAGGAAGAGGATGTTTAGATGTGTTTGAATATTAGTAGCTCGGGTTGGTAGTTGGGCTGTTGGCTTGATCTCTGAGCTTGGCGATTTGGTTGCGTATCACCGACTTGCAGCCAAATAGCCAAGCTCGGAGATCAAGCCAAAAGCCCAGAGGATGTTTAGTTTAGAGTGGAGCTCTTAGCTCAGAACGTGAACAATAACAAGATATAAACCTGCATTTGTTTCTACATGTCTGAGTTGCTAGAAAAAGTAATGCTGGGAATGATTTTCAGCCCCCTCATGACAGGATGAACTTCTTTTCCATTATATAATTCTCTTCAGGAATATGAATGTCAGTCTACTGCAGAAGCAAAATTTGTAAAACAGCTCGACCAATGTGAGATGATTATTCAAGCTTTAGAGTATGAAGAGTTAGAGAAAAGACCTGGGAGATTACAAGACTTTTATGATACTACTGCTGGTAAATATCCTTTACTTAATTTAAACAACTTTACATTTATTGACTCATAGGACAAAACAAACATTACAGGATGGGTTCTCTGCTGAGTTTACGTGTTAGTTACCCATGCTAATTCCCAAAAGTATCATTTCTGTTCCCTCATTCCAAGCAAATACTCAGCCTTCTGTGGACTTGAGCCATCTTGGATATTCTCCATATTCCATGAATAATGTTTGCCATATCCGCAAACTTTAACTTAACTGGGCAGAGCTATCCTATTGCCCACTAAGAATGTTTCTAGTGGGAGAGAAGAAAGCCGTAACCTTGTGCTTTTATCATGAAATATCTTTACAATTCAACAGTGGCTGCTCAGTGGCTTAATGACACTGGAGATGGTCTTTGCTCCAGTGGTTCAAGTCCTAGTACTGCATGGCGCAGTGAGCTCCCATCGCTCACCTCAGTTTCTGCCCACCTAGCAATTCAAAAGTATGTTATATGCAAGTAGATAAATAGGTACTACTTTGTCTGGAAGGTCAGACTCCTGCTGTGGCAGGACCTTCCCAACTGTGACACCCATTTGAGAAGTGGCTTTGGTGGAGGGAGAGGCCCCCAGAAGATGCTGCAGGATGCCGTTCATCTTTCTGGTGCAGAGCTAGCCCGTCCCCAGTGGCGCCACTTAGAAAGTGAACGAGTGTGAACCAAACAGGGCCAGCAGTCTTAGGCAGCCAAACTACTATTATATATTAGCATTGTAGTCTCCTGGCTAATGTAACGTTGTGAAACACTAAATAAAATAAAGAAAAACGGGATATTAATTTGAAACAGATGACTGGGATACCCACAATCCCCTTTCAAAGTGTTCTGGTATCACAATTCTTCAAACTCAGAAGCTGATAGCACCAAGATGGGAAAGGGAAAGAGGCTGCATTGTCCTTCTGGGGGCTGCTGCCTTTGGCTGACTAGAAAAAGGCTCATTGCTTTGGCCTCTGGAAACTATCAGGATTAGAGGGTTATTCATAGCCTAAATCTTGTGGAAGTCTAGTTACTCATACATTTTCCAAGAAATTCAATTTTGGTTGTAGGAACTTGTCCTTCAGGAGATGGATACATCTGTTAAAATCTTCCACTTGCCAGACATTTCTAGTTAGATTTTAAAGACACAAACTGCCAACAAGCATTTCCCTGATGGCAGCAGTTGGTGCTCCTGTTTTCCATGACTTCGGCTTGTCTACTTGTATTTTTGAAAGGCTAGCAAAAAAGCTGTCAATTTGTGTAACATTATAGCTCTCTGTGATGTTGATTTCAGAGGCAAAGGGCATTTAAAAGCCCAGCCAATTATGTTGATGTGTGCTGTGGACTTGCTGCTCTTCTCCTCTGATCTGATTTCAGGTGACAACATAGGTGCCTACCATTTTTTTTCAACATTCCAAACTTTACTGTAATTTTAGGAAGGAACACCTTAGAAAATAGAACTAGTCTAGGCAAACAGATGAGTACCAAATGTAAAAGCTTACATAATATAGTAACATAGTTCTTGTAGATGAAAGAATAGTTACCAGAGTTACTGCCATAATTTTGCATTTAGCTGACTTGATGAGTATGTTAACTAACTAAAGTCTTTTTCTGCAGGAAAATTTAGTCATCCAGAAATAGTCCAGCTTGTATCTTCGATAAATAGAGAAAGAAATGCAAACATAGCTGCAGAAAACAGTGATCCTCCAACTTGAATCACTTTTGAAATGTGCTTAGCTGCATCTAAAATAAATTATTTTATGATTTGAACATGTGTTTGTGTGTGGTCTTGTGGTATATATGAAAACTGTTGATTTATCAAATAATTTGTAGAAAATATAGGCAATAAATAAGGCTGTGATATGGGATTGGAAGGCAAAGACTTTTTAAAGTATTGGAATCAAAAAATTAAAGTGGCTGTTTTAAAAGCATGGTTGGAGTTTTATATGACACAACTAGCACCTAGAATATCCAGTAATGAATTAAAATTGGACACAGTATGAACCACTTCATAATTTCCATATCCAACTCTCTACCCGGCAAAAGACTGCATTAAGTGAGAAAACATGTTCACCATTTGGTCAGTTCCAGTTATTGAATTTCAGATGTGAAAACCAAATGATTAAGCCACGTGTCAGTTTTTCATGCTGCTTCTTTGAACATTTGCAATAAAAACAGTAACTTTATTTAAATGAACCACATAACCCAGCAAGATAGGGAGACAAAATTGAAATGGGAAAGTAAAAGTAGCCGTTCAGGTTACATTTACATAATTTATAAATAAATACAAATAATTCAAATTGGATAGTGCTTCATAAATTTAATTGAGCTCTATATCTTTTCGATATCAGTTTTTTGTTAGGTTCAGAAGTCATGCTTTACAAGATTTATTATTTTTTAACATAGTTTAAAGGTCCAGCCCTCTATTAAGAATTGAAATTTTAAATATTCTCTTTAAAAAGTCTAAATATGCTCAGGTCTGTGGCATAGGCACACTTATTTTACTCCAATGGAAAAGATAGAAAAATATTACAATTCAAACAACTGCAGGCAAGCAAGGATATAATCTGGTTCAGATTGTTATCAGATTAAATTGGTACATGCTACGTTTGCAAGGATATTGGAAATATTTATATAGACCAAACTTTACTGATTGACTATACCAAAATTATCTCATGTTTTTTAATATTTCTTCAGTACTTTGTACTAAAGGCATGTATATCATTGCTTCTTTAGACAGAAAACTTTGTGACATAATTGTTTTTGATTCCAGTCCTCATTCCAATGGCACATATAATAATGAAGAGGCTGGTTTTTTTTTTTAACAGTCAGAAACAGGCACATAAACATAAAACAGGCAAAAACAGCTTTGTTGTTTACCCCAGGAAAAACAGAATAGGTAAATAGCTTGAACAATAATCTGATCTTTTTTTTAAATTCATTATAAAAACATACATGAACAAATTTCTTAAGATGATACATGCCATTTTAAAAATGGACACAATTGTGTAGTGTAGAAGTTATGATGTAAAATCACTTATAAGCATAAATAGAATAAAATGGGTAATATAGAAGGACAGCTAGCAGTTACTTCTGCAGCACTACCGGCCATTTGGTTGCATCCCAGCCAATCTCTGCCTAGTACTGTGTAGGTATATTCTCAATGCTGTCCTACAACTTCAGACTCAGCCCTGGAAAGAAAAAAAACATTTCGTGCATCGGTCATATGCAAACAGCAGGGCAAAGGAATCCCTCACCTAGCAGTGAAGCTCATCTTCGGTTTTTGAAAGTCGGCTTCCTGCAATGGGGCTCTGAGCACTAGCGTTGGCTGCAGAGCTAAGAACTTCTTCAAAGCTTCCTCCAGGGTGAGGTGTACCTCCAACTTTTGTCTGGAAGGAACAAAACCATTATTTTGCTATAGTCAAAATTTCATCTTTGTCCCTCTGGGCTGTTTACATATTTTGACTACCGTACCAGGAACTATTTCCACTCTTGCATAGTAATTTATTTATGCCAGAGCAAAAATGTATTAGTTTATTTGTGTTAACAAGTAGGCAAGCTTTGTGTTACATAATGATGACAATTTGTATTACATTAGGTATATTGAAGTACAGAAGCTCTCAGATGGCTCTTAAATGCAAAGTTGGTAATAAATTCATCCACTTTCCCTCACAGAGATCTAATGTTGCATTTTAGAAAAAAATAATAACATAGGAAAAACAAGGAATCTATCTGACCAACAGAAATTACAGGAATCCTGAAAAAAATGCAGATGATTTGGCCATAGATCTGAGAATAAGTTCTATTGAAAGTAGGGCTTGCTCTGGGATTAAAAATGCACTGGGATTTCACAGAAGGAACCCTGTGAAAATCTAGTTTGCTTGTAACACAAGTGCCAACAATGACTTAACTGACCAACTTTTCACAAGGTTTTTCTTAGGGTGCCCTTTTCCTTCTGTTCTTATCCCTCCCTACCTTAATGCTTGTAACAGTGGTCTCAACTTTTTCTTCAAAGGATTTGAATGTAGGAGAATTCCTTTAAGGGATAAAACAAAGAACAATATTTGTTAATATTAATCCTGTTCATTTCCTTAGTCAATATTTAAAGGTTTTAAGTTTCAACCCATTTAGAAGAAATGAACAGTATGACCTCATGGAGCACCAAGAATAATATGAATTATTCTGAAATACTTGGTCATCCATAAAGCCCATGTCACCATGCCAATTCTTTATGGCCTTATCGTTCCAGACATCATTCTTCAAGAAGAAAGAAAAAGATACTTGATAAAATCTATGGAAATTTGGGTAGCTGGGACTGAGACCCTGCATTTGAAAAATAATGATGTTCAGAGAATACTGTATTTCAGCTCTTGGCATAGGAACAAACACTTCAGTTGGAAAGCTGATACCAAACAGAAAGAAGCTTTAATTCAATAATACAAAATGACAGAAAACACTTAAAATTGATTCAAATGCATTCATTTCTGAAATTTTTCTAGGAAATCAGATTGTTGATGTGAAAGTCCTCTGGCACGTAGGCAATGTTAGTAGATCAAACTCAGAGAAATTGACTCTCTGGCCAGGAATTAGAATCAAGTTTGTTTCTGAATGAAAATGAGCTGACTAGGACTTTGGCCTTGGAAAGTTTGAGAATAAAGAATAAGGTAAGAAAATGTAGTGGGTGCCCTTCCCCTCAAAGATGCTTCCTATTTTCTCTAAATATACATCAGATACAAACAAATGTAATTAATGGAGAATGTTTTCTGTTCTCCATCATCAATTACTGCTACTACTCAGTACAATATTTTTCTGCCATTAAGTTTCAATCTTAGCCAAACATGAGGGTCTTTTTTAATGACTCCAAGCCTGACACATTTTCTTTAATCAGAAAAAAATGGAAAATGAAATTATACAAAGTGTTTCTAATATTCAATATAAAGGCTGTAGGATTAAATATTTTTATAATTATAGTACCATTTGATATATAATAGTAGTTACCTCATAGCAGGCATACTCATGGAGTGGCGGATAGAATACCTGCTTTGCAAAAGCATGAAAAAGAAGAAAAAAATACAAAGCTATTGCAGGTTTGCAGCTATATTGATTTCACATTAATGACATCTAGCAGTAAGCTATTGTAGTTTAAATTCTAAGAGCATGCTCACTGATGAAAAGCTACTTTGGAATCTCGCTAAAATATAACCCTCAGTTGTCAGAATCTTATGGTCTTGCATGGTGACACTTTAAAACTACTTCATTTGCTTTTAACTGATGGACTATAGCTACACATAGTTAGTATATAACATTCTAATTGTGCCTATCACAAATATTCTAGGGGACTGCCAATAGCAACAGCAGGAAGGAAGGGAATGATTAAGATACTAACGGGAAAAAGAGCAATAGTTCTAAATCAGGAAATACTTTATTCACTAATTCACAAATCAATACAATTTAACCAGGGCCACATCCATATTCTTAAAATAGGAAATGGGACAGATTCAGAGCTAACTCCACTGTTTCCATTTTTCAGAAAGAAACAAGCTTTCAAGCAGCTGGAAAGTGCCAGGCTATAATTGAGAGCATCATGGATATTTTAAACAGACCAATACATGTATATTTACTGTGGAAGTGATACCTATAGTTGGAAGTTCTAGTTTTAAACTTTCCTAATTATCATATTAGCAACTTCCTCAATAATGCTTGCACATTTTTTTCAGTCCTTAGCAATCTTTATACCGTTCAATCAAGCTATATATTCAAAAATATTTTAATTAAAGTAATAACCTCCCTCCTTAAAGGAGGGGAAAACTATCATAGTAAAAACACTGCCAAATATTTACAGTATGTACAGTATTCACCCTATGCACTCACGGGTAAGCCAACTTGCATTTTTCATGGTATTTTGGTTACAAAAGTTAGGATATATTTATCTGCAGGTGGACTTGTCCACAAGTATGTATGGGAAATATGGCTTATTTTAAAAAGTATTACCACATATACTCATGGATAAGTCTACCTGCAGATAAGCCAAAGCAATTTTGAAGGTGTATTTTGGCACCTAAAATTCTTGGCTTATCTGGGAGTATATATGGCATTCTTCATGTAATTTCAAAGTTTCCTAAATGCACAATGGGTGGCTTACAAATAAGAAACTGAGAGACAGAGAATAAGAGGTAGTAGCAACATATAGACACCTTACCCAAGGGAATGTGACCTGGATCAGCAGCATAAGGAAAAATCAGGAAGAATTAAGGATGGGTATATTGTATAGCTACTGAAGTTCTTTCAAAACCCAACACAGTCTACTCAGTGCCAAGAGGGATTGAACAATATTTACAGTGTTTATCATGACCAGAAAGCATGTGCAAAGAGTGCTTCATAAAGTATGTTAGCACATGCAAAGCACCATCTGACTAAATAAATAATCTTCCATCCCTCCCAGCCACAGGTGCTTTCAGACTTTGAAAAGTAATGCCTGATTTGTAGAAAGCCCTCTATATAGCTCCCTTTTCCAATGTTTTCTCCAGCCCTATAACTATCAATATTTGCAATCTCAAATATATTTCTAATAAGAACACGATTTTGAAAACATGTTCCCAGAGGGTGCTAGCAGTCAAACTGTAAGATGTCAAATAATTCATGTCTGTTAAATGAAGTTTGCTATGCTCAGAACTATTTAATATTCCTAAAACATAGCTATTTTACAGAGCAGAAATTTAGTAGACTATTGTCATCATCAATAGCTCTGGAAACTAAATATCAAAATAATGTCTTAGAATGCACCTTCATCCCTTAAATAAATAATATTGCTTTAAAATGTATTTATAAATGAAATCAGTAGTAACATATGCAACATAAATATATACGTGAGTCAGTTTCATTTCAGCAGACATAAAATTAAGTGAAATTAAAAGCATGGGAGATTTGTTTGTTTCTCAGAGTCAGTTTAGAATGGAATGGCACAGAAAACTTAGACATTAATTAATTAATTAATCAACTAAGTCTGGCTGTGCTTGCAACATGAATTCAACAGGACTTGCAAGATAATTCCAAGCCAATTCCACTGTGAGAAATGAAAGTATTCAATGGCAGAGCTTACTTGTTAGATTGTACATTTGGCATATATAATTCAGTGGTATAAATTATGTCAACTAACCAAAGAGAAAACAATGATGATTTAAATTGAATCAACTGAAGTCCTGGATGATATAAACATGGAGAAAACCAATCTATGTGATCACTAAGAATCAACACTGATTTAATGGCACATAGTCAATCATTTCCTGAACCTGGTGCTATAAAAATTACCCAGTATTATCATTAATATAAGAATATTTATATCGCATTATTTTAATGTGATATATTTATCTTTACTTTTTCAAAGCTTGCTATTGATATGAGATATCTATTATTACTTTTTAAAAACAAAGTACAAACAACTATTTTGTGCTACTTTATTTATCAAGTGGCAAATAACCATGGTAAAATGTACTATTAGTCGAAATTATATTAGAGATTAGCACAGTAAATTATCTTCATTTCAAGAATTTTTTTTCCAAGGGGGGAAAAACATAGCTAAAGCAAAATCAACAGCAAATATGGGCAAAAACTACCCAAGTTTGGCTTTGTTTGAGCTGGAGATGGAAAAGTGCCAAACCCCAGTACTAAAATGGAGAAGTCTTATATCCAACAGTATAAATTAAAGTCAACATAGGATTTTCCATTTAAGATGATGGAAGATAACTTCCAATCTAGAGGTTAAGCCATGGGCAACTTGCTTTACTGCCAGCTATTGTTTTGAAGATTGGGAACTATCTCTTTGAAAATGGTTGTTAATCCTTTTATCTCGGACCTATCTCCAATGCTTTTCACCTTATTCCTACCAAACTGCTAAAACCTTGGCAATAAGTAACAAAGCAAATGCAAAATTAAAACTAGTTGCCTAACAGGCTTATAAACATGGAATAGATCGCCTTGCTATTCATCAGTCAGCTCAATCTTGAAATGTCTAATTTTCAGCTCTGACTGAAAAGATCCACCATGGAGCACTCCACTGAAAATGATGAATTAAGATACTTGCAGTTTTATAAGTTCTAACATTCTAATCGCTTAAGAATGTGTGCCGTTATCACTGTACGTGGCATTTCTAAGAAAAGTTTGGAGGTAAACTAGTTATTTTTCATCCCAAAAGTGCTTTTTCAAGAGAACTGTACTTACGGTAGTTATTTCTTGTTTTGCTTCTCATCCAAGAAGCTTTATCAATTCTGACTTCAGTTCTGAAGCAAGTTGCCTTTTGAAAAAGCACCTTTGGGACAATTATGACCTGGATGACTGAGAATCTCCATAAGTATTCTTCAAAATACTTGTCTTTAAGATTCCATCCATGAAAAGAATTAAGCTAGTACAGTTTTTGTGGCCCAACTATACATTTATTAGTAAGAATTAGCAAACTGGACTTAAACATGTAAGCTCTTTGGTTCCATTGTCTATTTTCTAGGAATTAAATCAGAAATTTATCATAATAAGGTAGCAATTTACTTTACGATAAAACAGGAAAAATGAAAGCTAATTTAACTATGATTCAGTTTTGCAAAACTAGTTGAAGAATAACCAATAGGAACTAAATGTCATCCTTTAAATTAAATCCTTATTGGCATACCTCATATCTCCAAACTTCTTGCTGATAACTGTTCCAACGTTGCTGATAGCTGCTGTGGCCTTTTGTCCTGCTTGAGTCAGAGTTTCTTGGGTCTTCTTATACCTAGCATAGCATAAATAGCAATCCTAATTAAGAACAAGATTCATTTTTGTTCCCTCAAGATATCAGCATATCATAAACTGAAAGCAAGAAGCCAAAATTCTATTACAGGAATCGAGAGCCAAATTGAAACTCACTTACAAAAGAGTGAATAAGTTGTATATATGTCTAAAATGAGTTAGTCATTCTTTCAAATTATTATTATGCTCCTAAATAGGGCTGTGCATTGTTTGAAAATGCTAACAGCAGTTTTTCCATGGTCACTTTAATGAATTACAATGAAGATATGAATGCTTTAATGATTCATTTATTAAAGTATCCACATTCTTTTTTGAGAATCACACAGAAAACTGAAAACTGACAGCACTGTTTTAAAGAGGTACTGTACTTCTGCTCCCACATTCTAAAACACTGTCAAGTGGTGTTCAAAGCTTACAGCCTTTAATACTCTAGACTGGAAAGATCAAGAAGCTTATACATCAACTTCCTTAGGAGATTCACGACCACAGACTAAAATAACATGAGACTTAAGTTTCGTTAATATGTTAATTGCTAGTTATCTGTTACATTTTGATGAATGAAATGGGCGGGGGGGACAGTAAAAATGTGATTACTTAGCTAATAGAGAAACAGTCTAGAATTCTACTGTCTTATATTGCAGTTTATGAAGATTGGTTGAAGAGTGAGCAACAGCATGCATCCCCAAGTATAACTAAATACATGTCAGGCCATCATAGTTCATTGGTACAGTATGATGCCCATCAACCAGATTGATCTGTCTTGTACAGATGTATAAAGCATTATACTGGCTAAGGTTATCACATAGCTAGGAAATTCATTTGATGGTTATGGACAAACTGGTTTCTCAAAATCAAAATTATTGCATTGAGCATTTCAAAAATAAAATGTCAACCACAATATCAATATTAGAAAAAAAACAAGAATAACCCTTTCAGTCACATCTCACTAACTGTAGAGTTCATTGAACTGATTCATATTGAAAGGAATTCTACTTTTTCTCTTAAAACAGCCAACACAATGCATCACAATCCTCTTAAATTTGCACATGACTGGTTTATAGGACATGCTTTAACTTGCTATGTTTCCATTTTTCAATAGAGTTGCTTTAAAACTGTTATAAAATCTAGAAATTGGCAAGTCAGTTTTAGTCAACAGTATTTGCTGAGTATGCTCATTAATACCTCACAATTTACCTTTACCTTTCTACCTGCGCTGGAAGTATATGCTCATACTCAAACACTATTACTACTATTCTTTCTTTTACTTTGACTCTTGTAAAATTACTGAGCAAACTATGCAGTTGGTTTACCAAACCCAGTTCACTAATTATAATTTAATTCAATATATTTCTTTTTTCTATTAAATCTTAAAATGAAAACAACTGTTACCTGGAAGAATAGAGAAGTAAAAGAATAAAGTGAAATTTTTAAAAAGCACATTATTAAGAGAAACAGAATATCATACTAACAAATAATAAGAAGAAGAACCCGCTAAAGTGGATCATGTTTGTACTACCTTTATTCTCTGTGATTATGGAGTGCCCATTGACCATGATTATGTCAATGGGTGCCTCAAAATATCTGTCAATGACACAAACATTTTTAGAAAGCAACCTGAAAGAAGTAAAGACATTTGGATCAGAACCTCCAGCAATAAACATTGAGAATTAGACAGCTGTTTTTCCTTCTAGCCAATTTTGATCAATCCACTCCCAATCTTATGGGATAATTCCAACAGATCCCTTTTGTAAATCCAGTATAGGATAGTATTCCACATCACTCTTCTGATTTATTATGTGTCTATCTTTTTTAATGTTTAAGTCATCATCCAATTTAATTTGTAAACCATTATTTCCATCTCTTTCCCATAGGCTGTCATTTTAAAATGCACTTCTAAGTCAACTTCAGTTTTATGCAACGGGCTTGTTCCTCTTCAATAACACCTTCTGATTCTACTATAATGTTGAATAATTAAAAAACTTCTTCCATGCATATATCAAACACTTCTTTTAAGATAGTCATCTGGTGCCCTCTTGTATCCAACCTTTCAAATTATCTTATTAGTTTCAGCGTATAAATGGAAAATTTTTCCCACAGAGAAGGATCCTTTCAATTAATTTCAAAGTCTTAAAGAAGTTCAACTGAGCCCTTAATACATTTAAAAATTTCTAAGGCAACAATAACGTAATTATCAGAATTATATTTTTTGATGATCAGTAGATGATTAGTTTAACCAGGAAACTAAGAATGTAACAGATTTAAACCTTACCATTTGTACTGCAGTTATGTGTTTGCAGAATATTAACATTTGCCATGAACACGAAAATAGTATTTTGAAAAGAAATGTTTCCATGTGTATGAATTGTTTTATATTGTGAATATTGGGATAACTAATTGAAGGTTTGGAATAATTTAGAGGCAGAAGAAAATGCTTTACCTGCTCCTGGAATCTAAAAACTTCAATGGGTCATTGTAATGAATAAAGACTAATTGAAAAAAAAAATAAAGTCTGGTGTTATCAATGAGGTGCCTGTCATACATTACAAAAGTGTGTATGAAACTAGCTTCTTTGCAGAAAGGTAATGCAAAAGCTGAAAACTGATGCAATCAATCTCTCGTGGATTTTTTAAAATTTCCTATCCATTTAATTGCTGGTACTATCATTAAAATATATTCATCCTTGGACTCAGACAGCCCCATCTATCTACAATGCACTCTTTGAAAGTCAAATGGAGTTACAGTTAATTTATCCAAGGTATGTTTAAAATCCAATGTTTATTGTAAGTGTCCAGTATATTTCCTAATTTTTAAATATCTTTCGATTAATATAACATAAAAAGGAAGTTTCCCTATACCTCAATGCAAGCTTGGAACATAACAGGCTCCTATAAATCCCCAGTTAAAATATTCAGTCTTTTGTGTACCTGGCAAATTAATTTCAATGGATTTTCACTGACAATCTCCCCAAAAAGATGCAAAGCATCCCACATAAGCTAGGCATCCCACAATTATTTCTCAGAGCGTAAGTCGGCAGACTTGATAGTTCTTTCGTCTTGAACCTTAGAAGTGCTCCGATGAGAGAGAGAGACCAAGCCAACAAAACAACATTCCAGGTAGAGTCATAGTAGAATAGTAGATGAAAATCAAGCTGTAGAAATCAAATCGGTTCCACCCCAAGTTCTGGACTGCCCGTGCAAGTTATGCTTAGTAATAATACCCAGAGGGAAAGAAGAGAGCACAGGGAATTTGAACTCACGCAGTAGTAATTTGAACATCATGCCAGCTTTTGCTGAAGTTCTGCTTCAGCTCATTCATCAGATTGATGCCCAGTTTTTGCTTTATTTCCATAAGGTGCTTCTCTTTGGCTGCTAAAACTTGGCGTAAAGTTGCAATTTCATCCTCTAGCTGCATATAAGGAGTAAAGCAAAAGAAAAGCTTGGGTTATTTTTCCTTGTTGTTCATGCCCATTAATTTTAAGTGCCACAGTTTCCTTAAGTACAATAATGCCAGATAATTGGATCCCATCAAACATATATTGCTTTTATATTCACTTAAAAATGCCAAAATTAATGAATATGACTATTCATGAAGAAATAATGGGCTTATTATAATTCTAAAAAATATGCACTATTATACAGCAGATCTTAGCAATGGTTATGTTAAGGCTGAACTTTAGGGGTGCAAGGGTAGGGACCCGTAATCCAGGAACTTCTAAGCTGCACTATGCTTTTGGTGGTAACAGTTCGGTCAGAACAATTTTTAGCTTCCAGATGATCTTAAAGGCATCTTCATATATATCACACTGATGTAATTTATGCATGTGATGATGAGGATTACAAGATCCCTGAAACTGGATAAAGATCCCTCTATACATGGCCCTCTCAGCAGATTTACCAGAAAGACCTTCCCCCCCCCCCCAAGGGAGTAATGCTTGAGTAAGACTTCATTGGAGCTGGCTGAAAACCTTGAACACAAAACAGTAGCGTTGTCTTGTTTGGGTTAAAACTTTAATCTATTATATTCCTGCCAGGAACTGGGATAAGACTTCCACGGCATCTCCTGTTCATTCTGGCACAGTAGGAGTGAGTTATACAAGACTGGTGGAGTTAGCATACAGATGATACCAAACTGCAAACTAACAGGTGATGTTAGTTTGCAGTTTGATATAGACAGGGCATTTTTTCTCATAGAACACCCAGAACGGAGTTCCGGCACCTTTTTTGGATGGAACCTTATAGGGTAGGCAAGGCGGGTTGTATGACATGTGTGAGTTCCGGCACCTTTTTTTTTTTTTTTTTTTTAGAAAAAAAGCACTAAATATAGATATTAAATCCTGAAAGAGGAGAATTGAATCCTAAAGTATCCCACAGTTGACTTTTTCTCTGTGAAAACCACTGACTAAAACCGCCCATTAAGGAAGAAGTAGAAGCACTGTAAAACCTTAAACCCATAACTTATGGCAGGCAAAAAGGATACCATGGCCAATCGTGAATGTTGGCTGCACTCCAGCAACAAAACGACTACTTCCAAGGTTATTTTCATTTCTCAAAAAAGGGTCTTGGTTTTTTTTTTTTTTTGGAGTTGTCTGATTAGATTAAATGAAGAAGAATAGAAGATCTGCCTTCCCAATGCCTGGCCAGTTGTGGCAAGTACAATATAATTATCAGAGTATCAGGAGAAGGAAAGAGAGTGGTGGAGTTGGTAAGAAGAAAGCATGGTGGCTCTAGAACAAGAAAGGGCAGTGTGGGTGATAAGAACTCCAAAAGGTTGTGTAGCTTCCCTTGAAATCTGATAAAAGCCATGGGATATGCTGAAAACCTGGAGTTTTTCAAAGGTACAAGAAGAAATTATGAGCAAAATAAAGATAATTATTGTAAGTACTCTTCCACTCTTAAGACAACTCCAAATAAAACCTCACTTTATGGGCCATGAGATTCATAATTTAAAAAAAAAATACTCCATTCAAGAAACTTCCTGTGCTAGAGCATCAAAGTAAAAACATCCCCAAACCCAACTAATCTTATATATTATCACTAAGCAAGTTACAATGTTATTGTATCTTAATTTATTTACATTTACATGAAGATATAAAGTGCAATGCAAAATTTGAATGTCCTCCACTACACAGCTGTTTCAGCCATTCCAGAATCAAATCAATACACTGTTTTCAAGCTCTAAATTGTCCTGGACTGAGTGAAATGGCATTGCATTTCTTCCAGTAAGGTTGGAACAAGCTGTTTCAAATCTAAAACTTTCCCCATTCAAAACTTTTGAGCACTTCTACTATTATCTGAATCTTCCAGGCTAGGGGTTAGGCATATCTTCCTACGATACTTGACTTAATATGCAAACATAGATAAAAGACAAAAGTCAATAGAGCAGTTGAAAAGCAGTTGACAAATAAACATAAAGCAGCCTGTTTGCCTGCTTATTTATTATCCATAACAGCTCTCATGTAAAAATCCTGGAATAAAATAAAGATTCTGTAAATATCTAAAAATCATGCAATGGTGAGCTATGGATTATTATACAAGGGGATTTCTATACATATGTCTCTTGAAACAGTGGTTGCGAAATTTAACTAAGACAGTCTTTATATTAACAATTTAAAAATTGGCTCCTGCATTATAAGGCAGCATGTGTAAAAGAAGGAGTCTTAAAAAGATCTAGGCTGAGAAAGAATGGGATGCAAAAATTAAGGTTATAATAAAACTAGCTGGTATAGATAAGAATTCTGCTTCATCTAGATCAGGGGTGTCAAATTGCCAGCCCGCGGGGCAAATGTGTCACACAGAAGCCACCTCAGCTCCGGCGAGGGGAAAAAAGTCACAATACATCGTGACACGTCACGTGATGCAGCGAGTTTGACACCCCTGATCTAGATCTACCAGATCTGACCTGCAAATTTGGTTGCCGTAACTTCATATGTTATAATGTGGTAGAGTTGATGAGAAGAAAGAGGACCAGATATGATTATAATATTTATAGTGTTTATTACTTTGGGAGAATGTAGTCAGGTTTAATAAATATCTTCAACTACTGACTGTTTGAAAAGGTGTGGAAAACCACGAGGCCCATAGCTTTCAATGGAAGGGTAACAGCTAATCTAAACAAGCAAAAAATCATTCACTCTTCAGAAAATTGGTAAACTTGGAGAAATTTCAAGCATTTCTGAAGGCAAATCTCCAGGGCATTTCTTTGAAACAATGAAACAGTATGGGATCTGAATGTTATGAATGTTCTAAGATCAGAATTGACCTTGATTCCATAATCACAAAAACTACAAAACAATTTGCACCGTGGCATGTGCTTTGAGGATAAAGGTCTTAACCTCACCTCACATCAGTGAGAAGGAAACACTGGAGGATAAAAACTTATAGAGCTAAACATAAAATTCTTTGTACTTGATTTTGTCTCAATTTTCTAAATCATAAACAGATACACATAAATAACCAAGTGACCAGGAATGGATAATCCTGGTTCTTCAAACTATTAGGTGTGTCCCACCAAAACATATGTTGAATTATGATTTTTTAATGTGACATAATAGTAAAATAATGCACATTAGTATCAACAATAATATTTATCACATGCAATATTCATCACATTTAACTTTTCAATAATCTACCCAAAGAATTTCAGTTATTGGTACATTAAAAACATAATAAAGAAATGATAATAAATAAGTTTGATTTATCTTGACACCACCCATATTTTTATACTTGTCTATTGTGATGAGATGCTGCAAACTCCAACCTTGTATACTTGTATCAAAATGCTATTTGCAGGTATATCACTTAACATAAGTAGCACTGTGAGTCATGTTTTGTCACATGCACACATGCACATGTCACTCACTTGTTAAAAGGTTAAAAATGAAAATTAATCCAATAACCTCTCTTGGGAGGAGCATGGTGACATTTGTCCCCAAATGCTATTCCAAAATATAGCAAAACTAGAGTGACTGGGTACCTGGAGGTAAGCTGTTCAACAGAGGGAGTCTTTAGGTCCCTGAATATGGCATTCCTTTAATGGTGGAACCCTCAGCAGACTTATGGGAAAGTTATGGCAAACTCAAGATGGCTGTGCATTTTCGCACAGCCAATGACCACAGGAAGTTGCTAAACAAATTAGCATTTAAAACACCTCCCTGGATAAAGGTGAGGACCAGGGATCACCGATAAGTGCTCTACACACTGCTTTCCATAAGGATACGGAAAAACAGCACTATCCAGCAGATTTTAGAGCACTGGGGGCCAAGGAAAAGTCAGCTTTCCCCAAGCCACAGTTCAGAACCTTCAGAAGAACAATAGGTTCACCCACTACCTTCTGTTTTTGGGAAATTAAGAATCTTCAGATTGACAAGTTTTATCCCATAGGGTGATACTCCTTCATTCCTTAATGAAATAAGTTTTATGTAAGTTTAGGTACTTTTTTTTTTACTTTGAAATAAACAGCAAAATGGTAATTAGAGTGTTAATTTTGGAAGGTTTTAAGTCAGTGGTTCTCAACCTTTCTAATGCCGCGACCCCATAATACAGTTCCCCATGTTGTGGTGACCCCCAACCACTTATACATCACCGGGTGCCAGGGGCGTGGCCAAAGAAAAGGGGGAAAAATGGCGGACAGCCTTGTTTGGCGACCCCCATGAAATGGTCATTCGACCCCAAATGGGGTCCCGACCCACAGGTTGAGAACCACTGTTTTAAGTGAACTATGGGGCTGGATGACTTGGAAATACGATTTAGAAATGAATTATAAGAATCCTTCCTGTGAGTTATTTAAAATCCTATTAAAATATATGAGTATTGTAAATCTAAGTGTAAGAAATCTTCCCATGGGAAAATGTTGTGGATTAGAAGAAACTGTGGTAAGAGTAAACTTTGAAAGGTGGATGCTAGAGGCAACCAGAAAGAGCTAAAAATCACAATTAAAAGAGAAGAGATACATTAATACAGAATGGAGAAAAATATTTTGATATCGGAGGAATTCAATAGTTGGCAACAATGCACTCAGAAATTTATCCTAAAAGTCTACTATCATAAAAATGTTTTAAAAGAGAAAATAGAAGAGGATACAATTGAGAGCCAGGGTATTTTGGATGTGGGTTTAAAAATGACAAGAATGATACGAAAAAAAGATGTAACAAAGTACTTGCAATCAAAACCAGCTGATTTCTTAATAACTAAAAGAGATTCACAAATAATAAATCAGAATAGTGACTTGGACAACTTTCTTATCTTGGACTTACAAAAGAAATGTGTATACTTGTGAAGGAGTTCCTGAGAAAGACAAATAGAAAATGAAAAGAAACCAGCTTTTGAGACATCATTTAAAAGGAATAAACATCAATATAGATGCTGTTATTTTTGGTATGTGTTAAACTTGCAACTTGCAGGAGTTTCTGAAAAGAGACAGGAGAAAATGATAAGAAATTAACTTGTGGGACCCTATTTGAAGGGATTAAAGAGTAAGATTTTTAATATGTTGCTGTTCCTAGTGACTCTTAATGGATTTTTCTTGAATGATGAGGCTTTAAAGTTTGTTTACAGGTAAGAGATAAAAGATAAGATTAGAGGAACAAGGATATTTTTATTCTATTTAAGGAAAAATAATAAATTACTGTTTTAAAAGTAAAGGATAATGAAACATATTTTTGACTGACGTTAAAATATATATATTGTTATTTCTGGTAACTTATTGTACTTTTGCTGGTTAGACTTGAATGATGAGATTTTATATTTTTTTATAGATGTGATACGAGAACAGATGTATAAGCCCTACCCCAAAAATAAACTCTAGTTTTGGGGCGAGGCACACATCTAAAAATCAAGCTAGGGTAGGGGGGTGAAGCTGCCCCACGCACCCCAAACCCACTTACTTTGCAGCCAGGCCTCTCCTCGCCAGCCCACTTCTTCTGTGGCACCCCAGGCCTGCATTTCACAGTCAGAAGCCTTTCCAGAAGGTTTCTGCAGCCGAGAACAGAGCTTTGGATTGAACCCATAGCTCGGTTCTCAGTTGCAGTGGCCTTCCAGAAAGGCCTTTGACTGTGAAATGCAGGCCGGAGCTCCATTCTCAGCTACAGAATGAAGCGGCTGCTTTGGCCACAAAAGAAGTGGGCTGGATGGACGGGGCTATTGGTGCCAGAGTTGAGTGGAAAACACACACAGAGAGACCCCAAAAATAAGAACTGGTGCCTCTTTTGGAGGCAAAAAAAAGGACCGCGTTTTATTTTTAGGGAAACACGGTATGTAGGGCTTTAAAGGTGACAGCCAGCTCTGGGTTGGGGTTAGAGTTAGGGTTAGAGTGTGAGTGACTGTGAGCAAAGGCTACTGATCAAGAGAAGGCCATATCTAGTGTATATTATTTTAGTCTGCATTGGTCCTCTTGCATACAACCTTCACTTACTGTGTAAGTAGGAGCAATGAATCCTGAAGGACTCTACATCAGTAGTTCTCAACCTGTGGGTCGGGACCCCATTTGGGGTCGAACGACCATTTCACGGGGGTCGCCAAACAACGCAGTCCACCATTCCCCCCCCTTTTCCTTAGCTGTGTTACTCCCTTTTATTCTATTGGCTTTTGAAAGCCAATAGAATAGACTCTCTTGAATAGAGTCTAATTCTATTGGCTTTCAAAAGCTAATAGGAATTGTCCAGGCTGTCTCTGCCCTGCTGAGCCCGCCAAAAGTCCCATTCTGCAAATGGTGCTGCCCCAGTTGAGTAGTCCTTGACTTATGACCGGTTGAGTAGTCCTCGACGTATGACCGTTGGGGGTCGTGGCATTAAAAAGGTTGAGAACCACTGCTCTACATGGAGGTTATGTCTGTCTGGGGAAGCATTACCTAATCTAAAATGAAGGATAATCTATCTCTGGATATGGCTGACTTCCAAATATACATCCTTGTCTTGAATGGATTCAGTCTAAGCCTATTTTTTCCCTATTCAGAACCTAACATCTGCAAGAGATCAAGTCAGGATATCCTGATTAGCCCAGGATACAGATATATAACTGAATATTATCAACATTTTGATGATACTTCAAACCCCATGATGATGGAACACCACTCCCAGCAGCTTCAAGGAGATTGTAAATAGTAGTAGGGAACAATTGAACTTTCAAATAGCCAACTGAAGAACATTGGCTCCTGTTTCCCAATTCTGACAGACAATCTAGGAAGACGGTATCATGGTTAATAGTGCCCAAGAGGATTGGGATAATCATATCCCTCTATCTCATGCGCACCAAAGTTGATCAACAAGAGCAACCACTGCAATTTTGATCCCATATCCAGACCTGAATCTCAACCCCAATGAGACCAGATAATCTGTTTCGATCAGGGCTGTTTGTAATTATAATCCAATAATAACTTCATATAACTAAGTGACCAAAAATAATAGAAAGTAAAAAAATAGTAAAAGCAATGAATTCTAAAACAAAACATTTTGTTTAAAATGATGTATAAAAGTCATAAAACATTACCTGGATTACTTCAACTTTTAATTCTTCTCGCTCTTCTTCAGAAATCACATTGGTCAAATCAACATCAGTGATGGTGTCTCCATCTGTCTCATGGAATGTTTGTTTTTCTAACAAACCTTTGGAAATAACACAGAAAAGAATGAAAATATAGTATAAAGACTCCTTCAAAGCAAGCTTGATTCCTGGGTCTTTGCGGACAAGTCATAGTGGGGAGACACAAAGAAAACACAAATACAGATAGTCCTTGATTTGCAGCAAGAACTGAGCCCAAAATTTCTGCTGCTAAGCAAGACATTTGTTAAGTGAGTTTTGCCCCATTTTATGACCTTTCTTGCCATAATTATTAAGTGAATTACTGCAGTTGTTAATAACATGGCTGTTAAGTGAATCTGGCTTCCCCATTGACTTTGCTTGTCATAAGGTCACAAGAGATGATCACATGGGGGGCACTGAATGGTTGTAAGTGTGAAAAAGGTCATAAGTCATATGGGGGACACTGAATGGTTGTAAGTGTGAAAAAGGTCATAAGTCATATGGGGGACACTGAATGGTTGTAAGTGTGAAAAAGGTCATAAGTCATTTGTCCCAGTGCTGTTGCAACTCCCAATGGTCAGTAAATGAGCTGTTGCCAGTCAAGGACTAGCTGTAAGAAATAATCATTAGTGTATAATTCTTGAAAGTATAAATAGGTGTACAAGTCCAGCTTTCTAGAAATAAATTTATAACATGAACACAATCAGTTTAATAATTTAAGTGTAGGGTGTGTTCCTTGTGTTAAGAGAAAGTGAACAATTTGATATATACATTAGGCTGTCCACGACTATCCAGTAAATATTTTCAAGCTCAAATAAAACTTATCCTTAGGGTCCTCGTACCCAGTTTTTCCATATAGATTGTCAACTTGTTTGACCATATGACTTACTTTGCTGAATACGATGTACTGGACATCTTTATTATAAAGAAGATTTATAATAGATGGTTTGAATTTAGTTTTAAAAATAGAACCAAAGGTTCTTGAGACATAGTACAAATTTATGAAGCTTAAAAATTGTAGACATGCTGTAAAATATCAGGTCCAAATTTTCTACAGAGAACAGTACATGTTGACCAATTAACATATGTTCAATTCTTTGCTGCCAGATCTAAAATTCAGTTTTTCTCCATTACATATACTTTGTACGGCTCATTAATTTAGGCCTTATGATGATTTAAATGGCACAAAAATATATTCAAAAGAAATAACAAAGGAGCTTTGGAAGGAAACAGAGCATCTGTGTAATTTCCAAAGAGCTATTCAGTTCAGGTAGTTACTAAATGCCTTCACATTTCTTTATGTATTCTGGTTGAAATGTCAACCTCAAGGGAAGTTAATTAAAGCCAATTACATCATTCATAAGCAATAACATCATACAAAGTTACTGTACTTATTGTTCTATTCCTTAAACTAATATTTTAATTCTATAGATCTTGTAAAGCAAACCACTACTGCACAGTTGTTTAATATTAAAAGTGATGTAGCAACCTCATGCTTCTGAAAATACTTTTCCTGAACCACACCACTTTATTTCAATGATAAACCAGACAGGGAGAACAAGGAGAAGACAAATTCCCTGCAACTGATCAGACCTAATATTAACTGTATAAAAGAAATGGAACCAGTTCTTAAGAACAATTAAAATATTCAGAAAATAGCTCACAATTCATTCTCAGGACACAGATTTTGGAGGTCAAAAGAGTCAGTATTAAAATATGTCGGATCTTACTTCTAAGGATAGAAACAAATTGACTTCATGGTCCTTTTATCCATACTCTTACCCACATTTACCTCATCTCTTTGCTACCATCTACCAGCCACCCAGTTTTTTTGCAGTAACTCTGTAGTTCATGGCAAAGAAGTGACAGCGTTGTCTTCTTGGGTTCAGGAATAGCTAAATATGAATAAACTCATGCAGGAAGAATATTTCTATGACAAACAAAATCAGAATGATAAGATGAAGATAAAGGAGTGTTTTTCCACTAACAATGGACAGTTGTAAAAGCTGTGTATTAAGAAAAAGCAGGAACCCAGATGCTTTCAATTATAGATTAATAGTTATTGAAAGAACCCATCAATCAGTCCTGGATTAAATAAAGACTGACTGATCCCTTGAAGTGATGAGTAGCACGCAGAAACTAATTTGGGGGCATGTAATGCAAATATATGATGGAGCAGAAAAAGCAAATAGAAGAAAGAGAAGACAAGAAGTATGGGTGGAATCAAAAGATCAGTGTTATCTCCTTAGAAGAGCTACAGATTTTCAAATCAGGTTAAAATGATGGACCTTGATTCTTACAGTTGCCAATGACTGAGCCCAAATAATTAAATCAAATAACGATATATAAAGGAGTTCGAGATCTGTTACTAAATTTACTGGTTTTGCTTAGTGAAACCACACAGTAATGTAGCTGATTAGTATTTAATTTGGACTGCAGCTCTTATTATGCAAAACTTACTGTACCAATGAAGTAAACATTATACAGCATATGAACTAGGTTAACAGAAATTATATAAATATAATCATTCACATTTTTCTACAAAATACGAAAATCCAAAATTTAATTAGGCATTTTTTTTGTTTTCTTTTTTGTTTACTGCTAGCTGCCTTGAGTATTATTCATTGGTAGGAATGGAGATATATATCAAATAAATAAGAAAAAACCATAGTCACTTATTATATTTCACTCAGCATTAACAGGTTTTAGATGCACAATAATTTTCTATACAGGTATAAGCTATACTGGATCAAGCCAGGGTTTATTTTAATCCAGCATTTTGTTTCTCATATTAGCCAATAACTGTTTGTTTGCAAGCAAGAAATGGAGACTTCTCCTGCCATTTACCAGGACATATATTACTGCAAAAGGAATAAAAGAAAACACGAGTTAAAAGGGCTGCATTTCTTAGCGAATGGGATTCTACTGAACACAAATCTCTCTTCTAGTATAGCAGAAGGTAAAGCATTGAAATGAGAAAAAGTAACATTCTGCAGGGTGCTGGACAAACAAGGATGAATAAGCAGATGGAAATATAAAGTAGTTTTTGGATTGAAATCCACTAATGGTGATTGGCTAAAGTGCCCAAATCCCTCTGCCACATGATATTGAAAATTTTCCAATGGATTTTTCATGGCAGTTTTCTTTAAATCCAGGGGAAGTAGAAAAAAGACAGGCTGTAACCACACAGGTCAGCTAAGAGTTTTCACTTCCCACCTTGATGAAAATTCATCAAAGAGAATTAACAGGGTCAGTGAGCCATTAGAAGACAAAAGTTAAAGCTAGTAAAAGAACATGCAAATGTGGCTTCTCGCCTTCAAAGGGTTTCCATGCAGATTAAAGCTTTTGAGACACAGCATGGGACCTAGAAAAGTGCTTAGACTGAACCATGTACTGGGCTTTTAGTTCACTGTAAATGCACACAGAAGCACTGTAGGACATCTGAGATATAATTTTAGGTTTTAAAAACTCAGCAGTGGCAAGCATGCATCTACCCACTTTAGAATGGAAAAAGCCTAGAATTGCCCTAGCACTGCTGTTAGCTTTGACAAAGGTGGATCTGATTTGTTCCCTCTAGCTTCTGGAAGCTTGGGAAAATATGCCAAGGTATTTAAAAGCTGGAACCTGTTCATATTTATTATTTCTAATTTACCACCAAGATTAATGCAATTAGGTCTTTCAAGAAGAGCACAGTGTTGGTTTTGGAGTCATTGATTATAATGAAGTATAATATTCCATTAAAGCTTGCACAACTCTCCTAAACCCACTTGGATAAAGGAAAGAAGTGCTGAATCGTTGGCATACAGCAGCACTGCCCAATACCTGTCACTAATTTAGGGTGGGAGAAGGGATATCCACAGGGATGGAGTTAAAAAACTCAAGATGGCAGTCACACCCATGTCTCCAAAGCCCCATTTCTTTTTACGTGCATTCTACATTTATGATTTGTGTATGTTTACATTTCATGGTGTGATGTATGTGAAAAAGGTGGAGCTCTGATTGTATAGTTGAGACTGCCATCTTGATTTTTCCAATCCTATCTGAGCAGAGCTCTGGATAAAAGAAAAGAAATATGACCTGTTTTTAATAAATTCCTAAGAAATACAGTTCCATGTTCCTTTCTACTTAAATTAACATTATTTGGAGATTTAATCTTTCTCATTCTCTCTTTGTCCTGAAAACACAAACAATATTCAATAGGATTGAATGTTCCTTGACAGTTGCTATTACTACTTAAAAAGAGCGGAAGATTCTTTTTCATCTGGATTAATTTGTCACCAATGCAAAAGGTTATCAGCTTGAACTCAGTAAGTTATGTGTATTCCTACTCTTTCTTCTAAGCAATGCACCTTCCTGGTCAGTCAGATCTTCTGAAGTAGATTAGCAATAATAATGTTTGTTCTGATTTTTGATTATGGGTTTTTAAATCTTTTTTTTTTTTTTTAAATCAGACTATTAGGAATTCCGAACATTCAACTGCTAGAAAGACAGATACAGCCATTACATGCTAGAACCCATTTCTAATGATCTTTTGTGAGGAAGTCAGCTTTTTTATTCTAGAATAACCCTCCAATATTAAAGATGTACATCATATACCAAGTGGGCAGAAAGTATAAAAGATAACCAAACACCATTATGGTAGAGTCTGAATAAGAGTTTTTCAAGAAACTGAGAACCCACTGTTCAAAATCTTTTCACCACTATTCAAAACGCTTCACAACACTCTACAAAAGATTTTAGAAGAATGCCTGGTACTTCAAAATGCTTATTCCCTCAGGAGGCACTGAACTATACAATAATGTTTTCTTCTCCTTGCAACCTTTTCATAACTCAAAACAACAAACATTAAAGATTATAGACTCTACACTAACACCTCATGATGTGTGGGAAGCATATTAGCACCACAAGCATTACATGAATTCTAAATATAAGGTTTAACTGTTGAAATCGGTTTGGCAACTTTCTATTAGAAAAGTGAACTGAAGGTGTCCTACTTGGCAGTTAGTTAGCTCAATAAATAGTAATTAAGTGCCACACAGAGCAGAACTCCAAAATCAAATTGCTATCACTCACAAATCTCTCTCATACCTGTGAATATTTTGAGAGCAAAAGTTTTATGAAACTGTCTGAGAACAGGCACTGGTTAAAAAATGGCTCCGGCTTTCCTGGAGGATCCAGAACCCAGCTGCTGACTCAACCCCCAACCAGAAATCAGCAACTGATTTTTCTGAATGATCACTATCATTCAGTTTGCACATTATAGTGTAAGATTAATAAAGTGAGAGACTGGCATCCAAAGCATGCTCTCCCCAGCAAGTCCCACTCAAATCCATGAGTTTTAACACAAAGCTGGAAGTTGCAGCTAACAATGACTCTGAGGTGTGAATACACACAACAAAACAAGTTTCTTTCAATTATTTGAGAATAATTGCATGCATTATCAAAACATTCATATTTAAACTGCAGCAGTTGTACACTTTTTCAGTCTGATGCAATGCATGTTTTACTTGGAAAGAAATCTCATTTAGCACAACGAGCTCTTGGTACAAGTATAAATAATTACTCAACTGTGATATTGTGTAAAAGTACATTCAATCCCTTTATTAAGGCTAAACAATAATGAATGAGTACATCCATTTAAAACAACTTCTCGTTTTGCGAACTTGTTTCCAATGTTCATTTTTACTCACAAGATAGCAGTGGGAAATTATCCCTATAATAAATTAGTTGGCAGAATGTTATATAAATAGTTTCTTTCAGAAATATTCAAGCATGTCTGCAGAACAGCAAATGGCACTGGCTAAAATTTTCTGGATTTTTTTCTAAGGACATGAAGAACATACTTTAAAAAAGAGTAATATAAAAGCCTTCCTCAGTGATTTCTTAGATTTAGAAACCGATATTGATATAACTAATGGAGTCACAAGAAGAGGATTATAGACTCTATAATAGGATAGAGGTCATTAAGAAGCAAATGCTCCATGGAAGAGTTCTAATTTAACTAGCTCTCTCTCTACTAATAAGAGGCATTTATTTACAAAATGCAGGCATGAAATCAGAGATATAAACAGAAATAGCAAATAACATAAGTTCATAAAGTTCACTGACCAAAAGGAAGCAAATGGTACAAGGAACAAAGAGTGATTCTGACATTTACTTTCTATTGCCAAACCTGTTATACAGCAATCCAAGCAAAACTCCTTAAGAGACAATGCTGCAAATACCGGTAGTTCTTATGGAACAATTGTCTTTAATACACCAAAGCTGTATTCCATAATACATGGAAAAAATGAGAAGATAATTTGAAAGTAATGTCATTCCCGACGCTAATAGATGGACAACTGATCGCATTCTATTCACCAAATCAACAAAGGAGCTTCGCTTCGCAACCGACAAAAACTCTAACAACGCAAAATTATGAAGAAGAAAACGAGGTTTGTTTTTTTTTTTTACTTTTGCTGTATTTGAATGAACGTTTTAAGAATACACGGGAGCCATTTCAGAGGGAAACTGGAACGGGAGAGTGTCCCCTGTACTTTGCCGTGGCTGTTTAAGTGCTTCGATAGGTTCCAATTAGCAAAGAACTAGAATGAATATTTACTAGGCTGCGTCTCTTTGGGGGGAGAGTAAAAGTAACGGAGCACGCCGTTGCTTCAGAAGAAACCGGCATTAAGTTGGGATGAAGGAGACCCAGAAGAACAGGTTCTTAGTTTTTCTCACCAGTGGACTGCTTATGGTTCAAGCTACTGATGAAGACTACCGACCCAGCCAACTTTCTTAAAACATCCCTAGCACTGAGCTATTCAAGGGACCTCGCTCAAAAAAATGTACCTTAAAATAAAACGCGGGCTCTATTTCCGTACCTTCGAAGATCTACAGGAAAAAAAAATACTGATTTATCCCAGAACACCGTATCTTTCTCTCTCGTCTATTACGGTTATGATTATTCTGCAAGAGGAACCTTTTCAGAACTTTCTCTAATTGTTGCAACCAGAGTAAATGGTTAAGCTTTGGGGTTGAGGTGACCAGCCTGAGGATTGCCACCCCCTCCTCCTCCCCCCGAAAAACCCAAATACCGACCAGAAAGCGAATGGGGGGAGGAAAGAAGAGACTAGAAACCTCTTACAAGAAGAATGGGAACAAACGCCCGCGGCTTCCCAGAAGGACCAGCTAAGCCACGCACCTTGCGCCTGTGTTTCCATTGTCCCGCCAGCACTTCTCCGCCAGCGCTCCACCGCGGAGAAGACCAGCGGAGGGATACGCGTCTAAAACGCGTCCGCTTCAATGCAGCGATTGCGGCTTCTGGTGATCGTCGACGGCTCCCGCTTCGCCGCCCTTGCCCGTGCTCTGAGGCAGCGCCACCTGTCGGTCCTTTGCCCTCTCTGCCACAAGACTTCTGCTTTTTTCTGTGTGGGCGCTTTGGGGGGAGATCGGTGTCACACGTTAAGCGAAAGCAAATCTGTGTTTTTTCACCCAATGCTGGATTTAGGCTTTAAATAAGCAAACTACAATTTAGCGGTTCACAATCTGAAGGGCCTCACGTGTTTGTTTTTTTGTCTTGTAGAATTTAGCGTGTTTTTTATGTGAAATGTGAGTAACGTTTTAAACCCAAATTTTCTCTATTTTCAAGTTTACAATGAATAGAATTTTTGAGAGTAGATCCCAGGGGAAAAAATATATTTTTGAATTTTTACCTTGTTATTTGGTAATAAAAAGGTACATACAGTGCATTCAGAAAGTATTCAGACCCCTTCACTTTTATCAATTTTGTTATGCTGCAGCCTGATTCTACAGTTGTTCAAATTCATTTTTTTCTCATTAATCTATACTCAGTACTCCATAATGACAATGTGAAAACAGGTTTAGAATATAGAAGTTTAGTAAATTTATTAAAAAGAAAAAACTGAAATATCACATTAGCATAAGTATTCAGACCTTTTACAACAACACTTGAAATTTAGCTCTTCTGCCTCCCATTTCTCTTGATCATTGCTGACATGTTTCTACACCTTGATTAGAGTTGATCTATTGTAAATTAAATTGATTGGACATGATTTGGAAACGCACACACCTCTCTACAGATGGCCTCACAGCTGACAAACCATACTGTAACAGAGCAAAGCATACTGTAGCAGAGCAGAGGTCAAAAGAATAGCCTGCAGAGCTCAGAGATATGATTATTGCAAGGCACAGATCTAGGGAAGGCTACAATAAAAATTCTACTGCACTGAAGGTTCCTAAGAGAACAGTGACCTCCATAATTCTCAAATGGAAGAAGTTTGGCACAACCAGGACTCTTCCAAGAGCAATTGGGGGAGAAAGGTCTTAGTAAGAGACATGACCAAGAACCTGATGCCTTCTACCAATCTGAGTTTTATGGCAGAGTGGCTAGATGGAAGCGTCTCCTCAGTGCAAAACAAATGAAAACCCACTTGGAGTTCACAAAAAAGCGAAGGACTCTCAGATGGTGAGGAATGGAATCTGTTTGATGAAACCAAGATTGAACTATTTAGCTTCAATTCTAAATATTATGGCTGGAGGAAACCAGGTACTGATCATCACCTGCCAAATATCATCCCAACAGTAAAGCATGGTGACATCATGTTGTGGGAATGTTTTTCAGCAGCAGGGACTGGGAGACTGGTCAAGGTTGAGGGAAAGCTGAATGGAGTAAAGTACAGAGATATCTTCAATGAAAACCTGTTCCACAGCATTCAACCTCAGACTATGCTGAAGGTTCACTTTCCAACATGACAACGATCCTAAGCACACAGGAATGGCTTAGGGACAACTCTATGAATGTCCTAGACTGGCACAGCCAGAGTCCTGACTTGAACCCTATGGAACATCTCTGGAGGGATATGAAAATGGCTGTCCACTGAGGGTCACCATCCAACCTGACTGAACTTGAGAGGATTTGCAACGAAGAATGGCAGAAAATCTCCCAATCCAGGTGTGCAAACCTTGTCACGTCATACCCAAAAGACTCGAACTTGTAATTGCTGCCAAAGGTGCTTCAACAAAGTACCAAGTGAAGGGTCTGAATACTAACGCTAATGTGATATTTCAGTTTTTTCTTTTTAATACATTTACAGACTTTCTTTGTCATTATGGGGTACTGAGTGTAGATTGAGAAAAAAATGAATTTCAACAACTGTAGAATCAGACTGCAGCATAACAAATTGACAAAAGTGAAGAGGGTCTATTTTCTGAATGCACTGTATGTTTTCAATTGGGGTGGTGACAAGGTTCTATTTTGATACGTACCTTTGTGATGTAACTTTTTAATAAGGGGCTCATCAAATCTAAATTCCACACTGCCTTTACCTAAGGGGTATCAAACTGCCGGCCCGCAGGTCAGACGCATCACATGGAAGCTGCGCCCACCCCATTGCAGGCGATGGCAAAACCTGCCCGATACATTGTGCGATGTCACGTGACGTTGCGAGTTTGACATGCCTGCTTTATCTGCTTGAAGCTTAGCGTAAGCAGTTTGGTTCAATGGAGCTTTCCTTTGCTCAGTTATACAAATTGCTGCTGCTAATTCAATCTTAAGTCTGTTAGGCAGTTTTAAGTGTTCCTTGTTGTTGCTGCTGCTGCGTTGTTTTCATGTGGTTACCTTCTTACTCTGTGGCACTGTTTTTCAGCAAAAATACCCAAATATTATTGCCTTGCCTTTTCATAGATTGTATATCTAAGCACTTTCTACAAATCCATTTCTAGAAGCTGAACTAAATTTGAATTTGTGGAACAGAGGTTCATACATGCATTAAGTATTAAATGATATAGTACATGTGGCTTATTTATAATAAATCATACTAAAATACGGTTCACAAAACTATAGTGGTTGGGATGATAGATTATGCTAATCCCCAAACAGATATACTATATTATAGCTTAGTAAATATGAACTATGGTGTACTACATAGTAAACTACATAGTAAACTATGTAGTGATATCTTATAAATATAGCATAAATGTTTTCCTTGATTATGACTTCTAACTTCTGAGATAATATTTTTAACACCTTTTCTGTATAGTCAGATGGTTTTAAAGTTAAGACTAAGAAGGTAAAGAAACCTGCTAAGTTACAAAATTTATATGGTGCCATAATTTTTTCTTTTCATAGTTTCTTTCTTTCTAAGCTATCCAAAATACTCACTTTAGGCATCTGAAATTACTTCACTGAAATTTGCTCACAAAACAGCTGTATGAATTTACCCACGAATAGAAATTATTAATGGCTTTCTTGGATGGGTTGACCCTTTTGTAATTTTCCCCATGCCACAAAAGAGAAACTGTTATGCAAATTATTTCAGAAAGTAAGATTGTGGATGCATTTCCCATACCTAGAAATGAAATGCATTTAACAACTGTAGAAGGATCACTGAAGATATGATTGCCACATAGTTCAATATTGAGAAAAAACTGGACCTGAAAACTTGGAAATGTATTTACAAACACATACTTTAAGACACAAACACACACACACACACACACACACACACACACACACAATTCTGAAATGAAAAAGAATGTGTTTAAAATTGATTGTGTAAGTGCAAGAACTCTTTCTAAGTGAAAGAAATCACCATCACTATAAAAAAGAATCTTAACATGATACACTTAAGACTAGATGACATAACAATAATTTAAAAAAGATTACCGAATGTTTAAATTTCTGTAAAATGGTTTAAAATCTTATGTATAAATATAAGGGTACAAGGTAAAATAAATGCTGCTGGGTACCTATTATCCTATAATGCAGCAGAATATATTTGCTGCTTCAGTTTCTATAGCTTGATGGAAGTATGAAAAGATTTTCTTTCTTCACATTTCTGCCACAAAGACCAGATACTTACTTCATGTATACCTTTTCTGCTTTAATAGTTAACATTTAAAAAATCTATTAAATAAAAGACATTCTTTTTTAAGGAAATATTGTCCTTTGGTAAAAGAACAATTTCATGTCCCCAAATCAATTGTCCCCCAGCTATTATAATTATTTTTAAAGATGGTCTAAATGATTGTTCCACCAGCAATAATTAAATGTACAAATATTTACAAAGTGAGTATAGATTATGCTTAGGTTTATAATTGCTTTCGAAAGTTTAAATTTCAAAGTCATCTTATTTCAGCCTTGTAAGATAGTCCAGACAGGAAGCATACCTAGAAATACCAATTCCATCTTTATTGTAAGGTTAAATTTACAGAATTTTGTGAACCTGAATGTACATCTCCCCCACCTTCTCTTTACACCTCAAGAAACTAGAAAGAGTCTCTTCTAAAATGTGCCATGCCCCCATTCTTTCTGAGAGCTCAGCTGTTTATCTGACCATTGCTTATTTGACTAGATCAAGTGGGTCTTCTATGGGTTTTCCTCCTACCTCCCAAAGTCATTCCCATATACCACTGCATCTTCCTTCTGTGTACAGTCATGTTTCAAAGAATAATTAACATGACTAAATTGACATGCTTCAAGAATAATTCTTCAGGTTCTATGAAATCATACATAATTCAACATTTCCTATATAAAATCAAAGCTCATTAAAACATCTCAATTATTCTTTTCCTATTCTATCAATAATATCCACCATTGAATTGCTGAGTTTCTTCATGGAATTTGCCATTTTATAGATTTTGTCCCATTTGTCTGATTGAAGAGATTGATGTAATGTATGCTTCATTTTTAATGCTGAAATTGCTTCATCCAGGTCCAACACCTTATTTGATGCCTCCAGTAGACTGTTTTCTTTTCCAGCAAGCTGAAGATATAAAAATATGAAAATTATGTAAAAATACATTCTTCTTAAGGCCAACCTACTTTACCCAACCAAAGGAGAAAGCATAAGGTGCCTGCACTATATTTCTTAATTGTTCTGTCTTTAACTTGTCATTTGCTTCAAATGCAGCTATTCTTGCTGCAAATAGTACTTTTTGTGGTCCAATGACAGCATTGTAAAAATAATGATTTTCAGCAAGAAAACAGTATAAGAGAACAAGTTCTGTCAGTTGTTGTATTCTGTCATAACAATTTACACAAAGGATACTATGAGCTTCTCCCAAAGTATTTTGCAATAATGGAAACTAGACAGGATTTTGACTAGATTTAGATTTGTACTCCAATTGCTGTGTGTATGAAATCAAACTGTATCAGAACAAGGGGAAAGAGCTAAACTGGTGAATGATACCTTCAGTCATTGAGTAGAAAAGATTATTTCCTTATCCTTCAAATTAATCCTAATCCAGACAGGATCCTTGCGCTATTTTTTTTTTCTTAAAAAAAAGAAGAGATGATCCGGGCTGTAATTCCATTAATAAACAGCATTTTTAACTTAAATGGATAGTTTGATTTTATAGTAATAACTAAACTCCTCATAAATTAATAGCAAAATATAATTTATCCTTTTTATTTTTTCTCCCTTTTGTCATGTACTTGTTTCAAAATCTGCAAACCCTAACACTTTCTCCAGTACGTTACAGATGGTTTCATTAACTAAATTACTTTGGATGTTTTCAAAAACACAGATTCAGAGAGAGACCTTAAAAAAAACAAAGCATAGCTCTATTCTTCAACTGACTAGCATAGGAAAAGAGATTATATTTGCAGGTAAATTTAATTTTGATAAAATTTATATGAAATGTAAATTAGTACAAAAACTTAAAATACAATACAATACAAAATACTACTTTTGTTTTTAAGCATCCATACCTTTATCTTTTTGGGTAGATTGTGAAATATTTTGATATAATAATAGCTTCTGCATCAATTCCTCTGTGATTTAAGTATTTTCATGCAATTTCACCATACCATTATCTAATTCCTATATCCTCTTAAGTGGAATTTATATAAAATCTCATGCCACAACATATCCAGATTATTTATAAGTAGTGTGTGCATGTGAATGCAAGGCGTATACATATGTGCATGCACATGTACATGTAAGAATAGTATTTCCATAGCATTCTAATTTGATTACAGATGTTCTTTATTGTCCACAATTTCTTTTCACAAATGATAAAAGAAATCACCTGCTTTTTTAGATTAGATGCAAAATCAATTAGCAGAGAATTCTCTCTTTTTAGTTCGATGTTGTCTTGTTCTTCTTTTTCTAGCATAGCTCTAACTTCAGCTATTCGGCTGCTTAATGTTGCAATATTTAAATCAACAGTTGTGCTTCTTTTTTCTAGCATGCTAATCTAGAATAAATCAGCAACAGAAATAAAAAACCAGGGAGCAGAAATGTAAACATATGAAAATAAAAATGCCATAATTGTTTAGTTGATGTACATCACTACAACAGAGAAAAAAAAAATACAAGGGAAGATCTAGAGAAAATCAATAAAAAAAAACCTTGGATGAGCAACCTCCCTATCTTTCTGATGCCATCAGAAGGCCTGCCTCCTGCTTCCCCATTCCATCAAAGGACTTGAATATTGATCATGAGAATAATGGACCCTCTGAAGATCAAAAGTTATTGACTAAGTATCAGAAACAAGCAATCTGTGAAGAATATAATATTGGCGTGATGTTGAACCTTAGAAGAGAACTAGATGTTTTCAAGCATCTGGCTTCTTTGTAACACAAAAGCAAAGGAAAAATCAGCCGTAGGAAATGAATGTTTTGACTCAGTTGCACCCATCTGTTATTCTCTGAAAATGCTTCTAATTGCTTTAAAAGGATATTGTTTAAAAAATGACTAAGCGCTAGTGCAGGATTTGATATGCACAGACTGTCACTGAACTAAATGCTGGGTTATCTTTACACTTTATCTTTAAGTACTTACCAGTATGCATCATGTTCCTGTATTACCATTACATATACAAATACGGGTAAGGATCTGCATTTGTTAACCATTAAGTTCAAACTAGGTCTGCTTTATAACACATCCAATTAGTGATCATTTAGCATAATAGCCCTGCTTAGCTGGTAGCAGCAAAATGTCAGGCACCCATTTCCCATCACACTGAAGTATTTTATTTACTAAAGACACAAGGAATGATTCCTGTGCTGTTCTCTACACAAATAAATAAGGAATTGATTGCTAGTTGTATAAAGTCATATTTTAAGTCCTATACAAGATCATACACATTTTGTTGTGATATCTGAATTGGCCTAATGCTGATTTTGCTATTTTTTTTTTAACAGGCAGTATAACTCTTGTTTTTATGCAGTCATTCAACCTTATCTTCAAGTTCCTGGAAGGTGCTCATTTCTTGCTCCAGAAGGTCTTGGTATCTCTTAATCTCACGTTGCAGATGCTCTTCCTGATCTTTCACTGTCAGAAACTGAACAATGCTCGCTGAATGGGTTGTATACACTTCTTCCTTGAGAACTTTTTCCTACAAATAAGGAAATGTGAGCTATTCATGAAGTTTCAAAGGAAACGTACATTTTTTAAAAAAGCACACCAGTCAACCCAAGATATTTAGAGCTATATAAAATAATGGAGCCCTGCAGCAAGCAATTTTCTGTATTAGATGAAGTTTTGGGAAATGAATTGCAATCCAGAAAAAAGAGGTAAGCAATATGCATGGATGGGTGAAAATAAAGTGAGGGAGTACAGAAAAAGTGACTGAATCATTTTGAAACCCAAGAATGGGAACATTAAGAGAGGTTGGGTTCTTTTCAATAAATCCATTCGTGTGTATACATGGCAAAATAATTGTTTGTTCATAGTGAAAGGGAATTGAGACATTCTAAATGTGAGAAAGGTGATTTTGGTAAAAGATGTGTATGAATAAAATCTATAAAATCATAAAATGTATGCATATAAGAGGACAACTAATGCAAAACATTAGGATGAAAGATTACAATCATATATATAATATTGCATCATGTCTTTATAAAGAAAAATATCATTTCAAAGAATGTAGTCAAAAACAGTCAAGAGTAGAAGAGGCAAAAAGACAGGGTAATTTTGATGGAAATGAAGAAAAAAAAACAGGAGTGAAAGGCTAAACAAGGAGCTTCCAGGAAAGTAAATAACATGATGAAATAATTGGAGATGAAATTGAAGTGAGGGAATGCTGGAATAAGCATTTTAGAGATTTACATGAGAATTATAATAAAATATCAAACAAATAAATGTTATAAATGCTAGTGTCCCAGAAAAAAAATAGTAAAAAAGTCTAAATGCTTTCAAAAAACAGTAAAGTTGCTATTGCAGTTGGGGCACTTGAAGAAATATAAAGGTCTGGTTTTGTAATAGAATGGTTATGCAAGTTGTTTAATATTTGCAAAAACAGCACAATAATCCCCAGTGATTAGAAGTGATTGGTTATATATAGAAAAAGCTAATACATAATCTTTAATTTTATTGATCTGAAATGGGCAGCTAGACAAATTAAATAAATAAATACATTTATTAACTGTGCCCAGAAAGGTACTTGGCAGAATTCTGACCAAGACAGAGTAAAAAAAAGGTGACAGTGAGCAAAATGTGATGTATTATGTCATCGGGGGATGCGCTGATGAGATTTTTCCTCTTCAAAAGTAAAATGTATGAATGTGAGAAACTAAATTTACTTTAAGTTAGTTCCTCTGTTAGGCAGGCTCATCCAGTCTTTATCTTTTGATCCCATTTTACTATGCTGCAGTTCCTAGTTAGCAATATTAATTAATAGAGAAAAGAGCATTCTTCATCTTGTATAATAATCTTCCCACTGAGATCCTAGTGTAGGATTTTTGTCTTTTGAAAACATCACTTTGTTTTCAAAGTGATCACTTTGAATGTTTGCAAGTCCTTACATCCCTAACCAACTCTTCTTGTATCCTAGTGTTTAGATCATTCTGACCATATAGCTTTATTATTTAAAAATACTATATTTTCCTTTATTTTTATAGTAGAGAATTATTTAAGCATTAACATCATTTGCATGACACAAATGTCTACAAAATGTAGGCAAAATTTTGTCCCTTGAGAGGAAAAAGTAGAATGAATATTCAACTGGCCTACTTAGAACAGAAGCACACTTTAAAAAAATATATATCAAAAGCGGTAGAAGCCAGTATATTTCCTCACATACTGTCAATCAGATATGTATACTCTTATTGTGGATGAGATTGTTATTTTTCTTACAATGTCCCTTTGTTTGACAAGTTCCAAAAACCTGGATTGCAAGAGATTATTTTCCTTGGTCAAAGCTGCATAATCATCCGCTATTTTACTTCGTAAGAGACGATCCTGTTCTGCCAGTAGCTCCCGCTCACGAATTTGATGGTACAGAAAAGATATCTCATTCCTACAGTAATTAAAAATATGAGAATATCGATCTAAATGTATCCTCCACAATTTGCTATCAACCTAATGCCCTAGGCCACAATTCTCATTGTCCCTAATTCTGATTATGACAATTGTCTATTGTTGAAGAAGACAGAAATGCATGACACATGTAACTAGGTTGGGAAAATGAATTTATATAAATTCAATAATATACATTCCTCAAACTCCGGGAGGAATATGAACCAGCTGTTTATTGTTAAAAAATTTAAAACAATAAAAGCAATTATTTACAATACTAAAACAAACTTAGCTTTTGCTGATCCACTGTCAGCATCTTCAGAGTGAAGTGTTGGAGGTGGAAAGATCTCTTATAAGCCTTGATAACCTAGTTTCTAGTGGCTAGAAGGCACACCAATGGCAACAACACCAGGAAGGAGAAGATGGATAAGGAGGGGAGGGAGAGAAGTTGTGGAACTGGAGTGCAAACAAGGGGAGGCGGGACAGTTAAGGCAATTACGGTCAGTCAGGAAGAATGGCCCTATCACACGATCAATGAGTAAGAAAGTAGGTTATCAAGGCTTATAAGAGATCTCTCCACCCCAGGTTCGAATCCCATAAAGGGTGTGGCTAACTGAAGAGAGCAGAATGAGCTCGGAATGGCCATCTTAGTCTCCCAATTTAATTCTTTAATTCTTTGTCAGAAAAAGAAATTTGGATGGATATATATATATATATATATATATATATATATCCTTAATGTATAACCATTAAGGATATATATATATATATATATATATATATATATATATATATATATATATATGTAGGTCTTTGGTTGTTCGGGTTTTCTCCCGCGTAAAATTGGAAGTGTCTTGGCAACGTTTCGACGAAGTCTCCATTCGTCATCTTCAGGCTGGTGTTTTCAGCTTCGTGCTTTGAGCAGCAAAGCACGAAGCTGAAAACACCAGCCTGAAGATGACGAATGAGACTTCGTCGAAACGTTGCCAAGACACTTCCAATTTTATGTGGGAGAAAACCCGAACAACCAAAGACCTACATACAAATACCCACGAAAACCTCAGAAAACACACACACACACACACACACACACACACACACATATATATATAACTTTTTTAATCAATGAATGCTGAAGCAGCTTCACACTAATTAAAATACAAAAGCTATTAAATAAGGCACATCAATAATATCAAAAATAAAATCAATAAAACAAAAAAACAGAGCTTCATAGATTAATAATTAGAACATAATATAATCAGATTCAGAACTCCCTGAAACACATTTCCTTTGCCAGTCATATAAATAAATACCATCACAAAAAAATTAAAATGTGATAGTCTCAGAAGAGAATTCTGTAATTATAGAGTTTTACTCGAAAAGTTTCATTCCAAACATTTACATAGTTTCCTTACTCAAGTCTCCAGACAAAAACCTCAATATGCTAAATCCATTGGGAGGAACCATTAATGAATATTTTTTCTACGCTTCAAGCACTAATACTATCACAAATTAATAATTTAAGTATGGGTTTGCACCATTTATAAATACTTGTAAGATTGAATATGGTATTAGTTTACCTAGCCTTCATTTTCTCCAAAATTCATTAATTAGTACCGTAATTCATGAGTAATTTGCTCATGCATTGCTGCTGTTTTCTTAAGGATTTTTTCTTCCAATTCATGTACTGCAGACTGCACTTCCAAGCATTCCTTTTTCTTTTCAGAAAGCTGCAACTCCGTTGCCTTTTGCCGTTCCAACTGTTGAGTCACCTTTGTTTAAATATAACATGTGGTAGCAGATAAATATTCTACAGAACTGTAGTTCAAAAATAGTTAAGAGACATTTCCTCACTGAACAAGATTCATGGAATAAATACTCATATATGTAAAATTGGGTCTTTAGAAATAACTTTTATGAACCTGTCAGGGAGGGAGGGAGAAAGGAAGGAAGGAAGGAAGGAAGGAAGGAAGGAAGGAAGGAAGGAAGGAAGGAAGCTTTTTAGCAGGAATATCTAGATAGGTTTCATCATAATGCTATCTGTTTTTCCAGGATAACAACTCTGAGATATCCCTGAAGTGAGAGAGGAAAATACAGGATTGCATTTTGTTTATACAAAACCTCCAAGGAGATATGTTTGGTATTATGTGCCCAGTTCAGTTTAGAAAATAAGATAATATGTTGCTACCATGGATCCTAGGAGTCTTGCATACTCTTGCACATATGTCAAACTCGCGACATCACGTGACGTCGTGCAACATATCGGGACAGTTTTGCCATTGCCGGCAATGGGGTGGGCACGGCTTCTGCGTGATGCATCCAGCCCGTGGGCCAGCAGTTTGACACCCCTGCTATATATAGTGTGTGCTATCTGACTTATCAAAGAACTAAAATATTTTCTCTTCTAACAACTCTCTTAATGATGATTTGGCGAAATCTCAGAAGAGGCAGAATATGTACTGCTTCTCTTGTCACATTTCTCAACATTTGTTCCATGACTTGCAGTATTGCAGAAGGGGAGGAAGAATAGACTTGTTTATATAGGCAAGGAAAAAATGTGTAGCAACAATAGAATATGATGGACCACAACAGATGTCAGAATTTGCTTTCAATGGATTTGTGAGGAAAGTCTTTTCTTCTAATTGTCTTAGATAGAAGACTGTAAAGGAACCTTGTGTGTTTAGAGGAATGTTTCTTCCCTAGTCAAAAAGTACCTCTGAACATTGATGACATGAAGTAGAAGGAATCCTACGCAAGAAATGCTTTTTTGCTTTCGTTATATATCAACCTGGCATTCAAAAACAAAGCAGAACTCCAGAACTCCTAAGATCTGATAGCCTGGCACATAGGGTGGAAAACAAGAAATGGACAACAGAACAGCAAACAGCAAACCCAGTGTCTGAGAGTATGATCACCCTTAGATCCCCACCATATCTCACTCTGTCCACTGCTGTTGAGATAGTCCAGCTTGCTCCTCAGCATCCCAGTCTATTCCCACTCCTCACTACAATACATTATTCACAATAAACATCTTTCCAGAAATCCAACTGGTTCCTGTTTCCCAAGTTTGCCAACCTCAGAGGGCTTGAGAGATGCACAGAAACAATGATGGCCATTATGCATGCATATAAATGCATACCCTTATTATGTAGGTGAAATATAGAATAAAGTCTCCCACCTCTTAATCCTTTGTATACATTACTTTTGGGGGGATAAAAAAGATCAAATATATTAGGACTGGTAATAAATTATGAATAAAATAACCAATACCTTTGTTTTTAGCATGAGGATAGTTTGTTCTTTGTTTTTCAGATTAATTTGTTGCTCTTCCATTTGCTGCTTAGCGTATGAGATCTCAATGTGTTTTGCAGAGATTTGCTCATCTTTCTCTGCTTTCTCTCTCTTCCATTGTCTGATTTCCTCTACCAAACCCTGTTTCTCTTTTAAATGCTGTTCTGAAAGTAGAATTTATAATGAAATTCTTGCCTGCATAAGATAAGTAATGCTTTTCATACTTTTAATAAAAGCTCACTCCAACTGTGATCAGATTAACATAGTTGTAGATTAAATTAACTCAAAACTTCAAAAAATTTAGTACAAATTAGAGATGGAATCCATGGACAAAAACATTTTATCATGAATAAATAATTTATTTTGCGCACTGCCTATCTTATCTATTCATAGTGAAAGAAATTACTAAGCTGGATGTTTTGTCTGATTGATTTCATAAGAATAGCTATGGTAGACTGTTGCAGAAAAAAAAAAAAGATCCTATAGCAGCTGAAAAACACCTGTGTTGGTACTAACCAATGATTCTTACATGGTGGTGGGTATAATCAATAAATCATGGAAATCCACAAGGTTGTTTGATGCAACCTTGCTATATTACAGGCCAGAACCTGTTGGTGCCTCAACAATATCAACAAAATAGAAAAATTTATTATCTGTAATATAAATACCCTATCTGTGATTTAGTTCCATCTCTTTTTAGGTTTCTTTAGATAGGCAAGGGGTGCGGTGAATGGCTAAAGCTTCTTTTAGAAAGAGTGTGGGGCTTCTAGCCTTGAAAGAATTGATGCTGCATCCTCTTTTGAAGAAGCCATCTCTCAATCCAACCTTGTTTGAGAAATTCCACCTTGTGTACAGCCATCCCCTAGACCAGGGGTCCCCAACCCCCGGTCCGTGGACCGGCACCAATCCATGGCATGTTAGAAACCGGGCGGCGCAAACAAGCAAAGCCTCATTTGTGGGATGCAGGGAGCACATGAAATCATACCCCGCTCTGGTCCATGGAAAAACCTCTCACCACAGAACTCTCGACGTTGTGTTTGGGATATTTTGTTCAACTGAATATGCCAGTTGAACATATCTGGACCAGAATATCTTGGCAACCATAACTTGTGCCCTATGACCACATCAGTTAGATTACTATATTCAGAATTACCTTTGAAAACAATTCAAAGGGTCAATTGTTACAAAATATGGCGGCCAAGGTGCTATTCATCTAGTGTCTTATGTTTACATCTATATATCATTCTAAGTTACAATTTGGTTTGTATATTTGAATCTAGGTGTGATATTTAAGTTCTGATAATTGTGGATTAGTTAATAAATCATGGTTAAATAAGCTTTTCAAGTTTACCGGAATAGCTGCTGATTTATAACACAAGTACAATGCCACCACTTAGAACACTATTTTTCTCAATTTCTTCTGAAACTGACACACGATTGTCAGTAACATCTGACTTGCTTGTAGACTGATTCTGGCTAAGCAGGGGTGTCAAACTGGCAGTCCACAGGCAGATGCCTCATATCCAGGCTAGGCCCACTCCGGCTCCACAAACACAAAAAACATTGTGATACATCACGATATATCACATGACGCGATCGAATTTGACACCCATGCTCTAGACAAGAGCATAGGTGTTAAACTCACCATGTCATGTGACATGTCACGATGTATCGCGACTTTTTTGCATTGCCGGAGCTGGAGTGGGTGCGGTCTCCGTATGGTGCAACCAGCCCACAGGCCGGCAGTTTGACACCCCTACTCTAGAGGAAAGCTTTAATAAGGCTCCCTCTTTTCTAAACCCAAAGATTCAACAAACAAGACTATATTACTTAGATATCAAGGGAACAGATTTTTTCTTCATCCACTTTCTGAATTTGAACTGCCTTTTGGAGACTAATTATAATCAGTTATTCAACACATTAATATTTTATTTTAACATTTTTGTTTCGCTTAATTGAAAACAAGAAAAAAAAACCTATTTCCTGAAGATATTATTTAAAGCAATAATATACAAAGTTACCACAGGATGGTGCTATTTTTTTAAAAAAACCAGTCATCTGAAGCTTAAATATTATTTATCTTTTTTAAATGGTTATTGTTAGCAGTCAACAGTTTCAACAAGCTATATAATACTGGAATGATGTATCTTATGTTATGAATTTAGAGTGAGATTAAAAATCTGTCTTTGTCTGCTTTTCCTTTCTATATTTGCTGTTTGGCTTTATTGTCTGTTTAAATACATATTTCTATTTGCTAAATAACATAAGCATATAGATATTGAAAATACTAGCTCTTTAAAATAATCTTTAGCATGCCTTTACTAAGGCTAAGCCTTGGTGATAAATTCATGATGCTGCACACCTTACAGAGGAAAGAGTGATTACAATACTATTATCTAGACTACAACTTTTTTTTAAAGCACAATAATTATTAGAATTTATTAGAAGTTCAAGTATCTTGGATGGTTTTAGCAGAGTTTCTTATTCTTCGGCTATTTCTCATTGCAAAAGAATAATACCATAGCTTGGAATATACAACATCTTTTTTCCCTAGCTACAATGGTATTATTTAGTGATTTCAGTAGGGGAGTTTGGAGGGTTTTTTTGTGTTTTTTTTTTTTTTTGCAGTGTAATGGAAATGATTTGCAATAAAATTTTCAGAGTTTTTTCCCCCCAGAAATTAGAAGTCAACAAAAAAATCCAAATGTTTATTAAATTAAAAAAATAGTACTATGGGAACAGATAGCACCAAATCTATATCATTTTGAAAATGCTGAAAAAAATATTACCATTAACCATACTGATTTGGCTATTAAGTTGATTTCTTTCCATCTTCAGCATGTTTAAACCATCTTTCTTTCGCTTCAGCTCCAGTTCAAGGCCATCAGCCTTAAACTGTAATGTCTATAAAAAAATAAAATACTGTGACTTATAAAATTATATTTACACTGAAAGAACAGAAAAGTTCAGTATCTTAAAGAGTTTATTTTAAACGCATGTTCCAATAAATTGGGATTTTACACATATTGTAATATTGAAAAATATTTTCATACAAGTACTCTGACTTGTGATTATAATTGGGCCTAGCAATTAGTTTAAGTTATGAAAGTTGTAAAGTGGGTCATCAAATAATCAGACTCAATTTTACAACCTTTTTTGTGGTGGTTGTTAACCACATGCAGCAGTCATTAACCAAATTCATTGTTTATTATGGCCGTTTTTTCCAAAAACAAAAAGTAAATGCCAGTTTCCAGAAAAAAAATGTTACAAATAGTGATCATGTGACCACAAGGCATTGCATATGTGGGCCAGTTGCCAAGCATCCAAAATGTGGTCATGTCATAATCTCAGAATTGGGTCATATGATTGGTTGGAGAGTTCCATTGTAACTTTGGTCACTAAGTGATTGGTTGTAAATTGAGGACTACCTGTATATATATATTTCAAATGCATTTGTTAGCCTCCTGTTTTCCTTATGTGTTCATTTTTGACAGCAAGTCCTCAATTGACAAATACATTCTTAAACTGCTGGAAGAAGCTACAGTAGCCTTTTTATTTTCCTCTAATGATAACCCACTAAGTAAATATGCAAAGAATTACTTTGGCATTGTTTGTCAAAAAGACTTAAAAATTACCTGTAGATTTTGTGTCATATGTTCCATTTCACATGCAAGGAGAGGCTGAGTATTAATTGCTTTTTTAGTCTGCTCACGAGTAATAATAAAAAGTTAAGGCAAAAGGATGAAATATTAACTAAATAACTTTAATTAAAATTTAAAATAGAAAATAGCTGTCCAATTCTCATTCAGTTTCCACATTAATAAAATATTTAATTCCAATATTACAAATAATATTTTGAATATCCTATCCTTATTATTCTTAAATTCCTAGGTTTTAGTTAACCATAGTCAGAAATACATAGGATATAGAAACTTAGCTTCCAATTCAAGGAAATAAATTTGCTGTTGAAGATTCTTTATGTATTCAGATTCTATGCTTAATGATGTATTTTCCATTTCTAAAGGCAAAAATAAAATGAAACATATAATTATAAAGTTGCTTTTCTTATGATTTTTTAAAAAAAAGTTTTACTCTTATACGGTACTTATCTCTTACAGTGACAGGATGGAAGCTCAAAAGTAATGTTAGAAAGTATTACTTAAAGCAATGGTTCCCAAACTTTTTTATACCCGCACCCCTAGAACGCTTCTGATATATTCTCGCACCCCTTACAAAAGTTTGAAATAACGGCAACAAATTATGCATATACACTATAATTTTGAAAACCCAAGTTTTCGCACCCCCTGGAATATCATCTCGCATCCCTGGTTGGGAACCCTTGATTTAGAGAACGGGTAAAGGAAGCTTGGAAATGATTTCCAGTGTAGGTACTGGGTCAATTATCAGTAACTGAGTTTAAATAGGCTTGGGGAAAAAACACGTCCATTATCTGACATACATACATACATAAATACAATGAATAAATTAAAAATAAAACAACAACAATCCCTCAAAGGGCATTTTACTAAAACTAATGCAAGATTGTTCACTTTAAACTTGTTGGTATTTTAAAAAGTTAAGCCAGTATATTTGCTCACCATCATTCATACAATTATGTTTTAAGTCAGCAAGTATTTAAAAGTCTAGTGTAGTCCAAGTGTAATCAGTACTCATATTTTATACTATCCTGCTGTTGCCAATTTTTCAAAATCTAATTTGTGTCCATTTCTGCTCATCATCTGTCAAACAAAATGAAGATGTCTTTTATTGAGAGGAAGATTTTAGAAGCCAACTGAGGCTAATTTAAAGCAATAATTAATACCAATGTAATTAAATGATAATCCAATTTTAAATCTTTCCACCAGGAGCCCTAATATGCTATGCAGATTTATTCTGGGATTCGATATTTTCTTATTTCATTCCCAAGTACTTCAGCCCAGTCCAAACCCGAAGAAAAGATCCGTGCGTGTACACCGATTATATTTTTAAGCTCCCTGGCAGGAAAAAGGCTACAAGACACAGATTGAATCATAATTACTAGAAAGCCGGGCTCCCGCAGATGCAAATGCATGACCCTTGGTCTACAAAACCACAGTGGTTAAGCTACATTAAGCTAAAGCAAAGCACCGGGCCAATCTCTTCAGTCTTAAAGTGGCTTATAATTTTATTTGTGGTAAACCGTGCCTTTTGCCCCCTCCATTTTTCCCTTTGCGGTTGTTTGAGGTTTGTTAATCACAGGTGATAAGTGAGCGGGGTTATTAAACCCAGCACGAGCAAATGCATTCAGAGAGGGTTCATTTGTGGCAGTTGCTAACGACGCAACTTTCTTGGCACGGACGTCCATTAGTTCTCACAGAGAGCAGAGGCAGCCTTCCCTGCCACTAACCGCAAGAAGTGAGCTAGCTGTTTTCTGAAGCACTTTGGGTCGCTCAAAATCAGGAAGCAACGGCACAGAAAGGACCAGAAAACTCTCACCTTTCTGGAGCTGAAGAAGCTTCTTGGATGAAAAGCGAAACGTCTTCAAAGAGGAAAAAAAAAGAAAGTCCAGTTGCCTCCTGAAAAAGCACCCTTGGGACTTTCTGGAACAAGCTCAGCTCTCCAACAAAAAAAAAGGGCAATGCAGCTACGGGCCACTTTCGTTTCCGCGGCAACCTCCAGGCACAGCTTTGCCAACTTTCTTTTTGAGCCGAAGCCAAAACGTCAAAAGGGCGGCAAGCGGAGGCAGGGCTGGGCGTGCCAGTTGGGAGAAAAGCAATGAGGAGGGGGGAAGGAAGAAGCGAGAAGAGAGAGAGAGAGACAACTAAGCACTCGTTTTTGACGGAAGAGGGCAGGTTTCATGCTGCGTTTTTCTCACTGCGACCCCCGTGGCCGCGCTTTTCTTAAGACCTTTGCAAAAACAAAACAAGCCTCAAAGCTCCTCGTTCCTGACGCAGAAAAGGTTCGTCGTCTTCTTTCTTAGCGCGAAGCCTGGCTTCCATAAGCGGCTCACCGGCGCAACCGCTCTAGGGATGGAAGGCCCGTTTCCTTGGCAAAATTGCAGGATTTCTTGAATTCCTTGAAATTGCAAGATTTCGTCCCCCCTGCCCCCGGTCGTCCTCCAGGTGTTGTTGCAAAAAAGGCAGGTCCTCCCGATTCCCAGTTTCGTCCCGCGGCCCCCCCCCCCGTTCCTCGGGCAGCCGAGCCAATGGAATCACGGCGAAGGAGCGTCGGAGTTTTGCCTTTCTCCTTTCCTCTCGACTCAGGCCTGGTCCCTGTACAGGTAGAGTCGGCAAACCTTTGACGAGTAGTAGTAGTAGTAAAGTACTAGGTAGTCCTCGACTTACGACCACGATTCAGCCCAAAACCTCTGTGGTTCAGTGAGACATTGTTAAGTGAGTTTTGCTCCATTTATGACCTTTCTTGCCACAGTTGTTAAGTGAATCACTGCAGTTGATAAATTAGTCACCCAGCCGTTAAGTGCATCTGGCTTCCCCATTAACTTTGCTTGTCAGAAGGTCACAAAAGCTGATCCCATGACTTTGGGACTCAGCAACGGTCATAAGTATGAACCAGTTGCCAAGCAGCTGAATTTTGATCACATGATCATGGGGATGCTGGAAAGGGGTAATTGTGAAAAATGGTCATAAGTCCATTTTTCAGTGCCCTTGTAATGTTGAACGGTCATTAAATGAACTATTGGTAAGTCAAGGACTACCTATATGAACTGAATACAAGCAGTCTAAAGGATTGCAGTTTCATCTGACAGAGTCTGGTCTGGCTTTTGTCTTTACAATGGATGAAACAAACCTGAAAGAATGAGGAGAGAGCGCAGGAGAGAGCCAGACTGACAAAACTGGACAAGGGGGATGAGCAACTGGCTCACATTCTTAAAGCAGGTAAGAGTGAAAGGCATTCTTGCAAAGGAACAGGCATTCAGTTTCCTACCTAAGGTTGATGAAATCAGCATACACAATCTGGCTAACATAAAAAATGCTGCCAAAGTACCAGATCACTCAGAAGGATTTTTAAGATATGCCTTGAGCTCCAGGTTAGATTTTTTTCCCCTGCAGATCAAAGCTATGACCTGTTTCAACTTTAATGCTGCAGGGTTTTCTAAAGCCAGCTGAACTTGGATATTAGTTGGAAAAGCCACAAGATTTTAAGGTTGAATCAATTCCAATTATTATCAGAGTGTTAATGTATTTTTAGTGTAATTAAATAGTAATGGTGTTAAAGCAGCTGAACTGCTTTCTTCAATTAACATGCTGTGTGCTGAACTGCGTAGCTTCTTGGATTCAAAAAAATGCTTGGCAGCATCTAGAATTGTCCACAATTCTTATAACAACTATACGCAGAGAATCATGCCACTCCAAAACTGCAGACAGATTCCAGAAAAAGACATGCCTTGTAGGTGTGCATGCTCCCAAGCAGATTTTTCTCTTTGAACCCAAAATGCTGCTTTAATAAAACACTGCATTAAAATGTCATTAAAGCCAAAATAAAAGAGGAGGTTTATCAAGTCCTGAAGAGACTGCTCATGAATAATTTGGACTCAGTTTGGAAAGCATTTTTTTGGTTTCAGCTCTGAAGTGCTGACCTGTGTTATTATGTACCATTTTTTTTTTAAAAAAAATCACAATATATGCCCCCAAAAAACACATTAGGTTATTCTGTTTTGAAATAAAGGGAATCATATGATTTTAGTATCCTAAGCAAGCTGCAAGTTAGTGATACAGTTCTCAATTGAATATACAGCAGAGGAACACAAAACCAGTAAGGAAGGTGTACAGGTAATCCTCAACTTAAAGAGCAGAATTGAGCTCAAAATTTCTGTTGCTAAGCAAGAGAGTTGTTAAAGGAGTTTTCTCCCATTTTATGACCTTCCTTGCCACAGTTGTTAAGTTAGTAACATAGTTGTAAAGTTAATCCGGCTTCCCTATGGACTTTGCTTGTCAGAAGATCGCAAAATATGCTCGCATGACCCTGGAACACTGCATCAATCATAAATATGAAGCAGTTGCCAAGTATCCTAATTTTGATCACGTGACCATGGGGAGGCTGCAAGTGTTGTAAGTGAAAAGTGGTCATAACTCACTTTTTTCAGCACTGTTGTAACTTTGGTCACTAAAATGAAAGGTTGTAAGTCAAGGACTACCTGTAATGCTATTGCTTCAGTTGCATCTACCTAAGCTAAACTGGCACTTACTTTATTTATTTATTTATTTATTTAGTTATTTATTTATTTATGAGACTTATATACCGCTTTAAGTGCAAGCACTCTCTAAGCCAGTGGTTCTCAACCTTTCTAATGCCGCGACCCCGTAATACAGTTCCCCATGTTGTGGTGACCCCCAACCACTTATACATCACCAGGTGCCAGGGGTGTGGCCAAAGAAAAGGGGAAAAAAAATGGCGGACAGCCTTGTTTGGCGACCCCCGTGAAATGGTCGTTCGACCCCAAATGGGATCCCGACCCACAGGTTGAGAACCACTGCTCTAAGCGGTGTACACCGCTTATTTTTATTATTTTTTTATTTTTTTTATTATTTTTCTCTAATCATGGGGTGCTTATATTCTCCAACCATTGCCTACTGAGTCATTTTCTAATGAGTCATTTTTATTCTACACTAAGCTTTGTGCCTCTTAGCCTCTCAGATCACTTGAGTGCACTTTCTACTGTAACAGCACAATTTAAGCATTTTATTAATGAAATAGCAATATGTACATAAGCATTTTTTAATTATATGACATATAGTGATAACATTTATTTTTGAACAGTTGAGCAGGATGAAATTGATAATAAAAAAACCATTCACATCCTTTTAAGAGACTGAAACCTTTAATACAATATGTAGTTCGATGGAGACACAATTTCCTATCATGGTGTTGCATAGCTGCCTGCAGCATATGTTGTAGATATTAAAGAAAGTAGAATACGGAGACTTCTGATTTTGTGCTGTAGTGCACAGCCGAGGGATTGCAGAGCTCTGCCTCCATGGCTAGTTTCGCCCTGCCAGGAAACCGTAAATGGGTCTACAGTCACCCCGGAGAGGTGATGAAGAAAGAGGGGCGCCCCGATGATTGCAGAACGACGGAGGTCATCCTGTTCGATCGGGGGGAAGCCCTCTAACCTGACATGAGAAAGGCTGGCCACACCTTGGTGACCAGCCCAAGCTACTTGTCCAAAGGCACTAACCAGAACAACAGTGAACAGAGTGCTTGAAACTGGGTGAGGATTTTGATCTTCTCTCTCCTATTTTGTATCTGATTTCCTAGAAAAGATTCCCAAGAAGCAAAAATCCTCCCAAAGTGAGAAGGGAGGTGGCTACACCTCCACCCTCCCATAGATGGAAGCGGCGAATTAAACTCTTATGGGGAACAAAAATAAATTGAAATGAGGTTAAAAATACTAGTCTGGATAAATCTGAAAACTAAGAAAACTGTTATAATAATAATAATAATTATTATTATTAAACAACTCCTCTTTGCTTTAAAAGCTGAAAAATGAACAGCTACTGACACCTAGTGGAGGATTAGAGAAAACTATAGCTGCATTGACTCAGAATTTGGCAAGACACCCAGAAATAGCAAAAAACAGCTGGGAACAAAGCATTGAGCTATCTGCTACAGAGTGAAATTATATATGTTTCGAAACTGCTGACCTTCTGGAATTATAAACACACTGAGCTGCATTTTTAAGTTTAATAACTGTTTGCAGAGAAAGAAAAACCTTGGCCTTTGGTTAATCTTCTAAAGGGGAAATTACTGGAAAGCTTTCATCTGGTTAAACACTTTGGACTGAAATCTTGGCTGGCTGATAATCAAAAAGCCCCTGAAAAGAAGAACTTGTCTTTTTTATCCCCAACAATATCTACAAAAATACAACCAGGCAAGCTAAACCTACTGATTTGGAAATTGTCCTGCCAAAAGAAGAAGATTAGAATTAGATTTAAGAGATGTGATCCAGCTTACCAGATGGAATACTATATGACCAAACACCTGTTTGAATACAGTTAAAAATATAAAGTTTGGGTATTAAGAGGCCCTATAGTAAGATTGCTAAATGGTGTACTATATGATTAAATACTTGTTTGAACATGGTTAAAAGAATAGCTAAAGCTTGGACATAACGGGGCCCTATAGTAAGAGGGATAAGCTATATAAGTAGTATAATACTTTTATAATATATGAACTGTAAAAATATTGAGACAGTGTATTTAAATGAAAAGTTTGGATATTCAAAAGTAATGAATTTTGAGAAAATTATGACTGATAAGAGTGGTTTCAATACTGAGAGGAAATTAAGCTTAAATAAGAATCTTGAAAACAGGACATATAATGACTTAATAAGATGACTTTTATAAATACAATTGAAACATAAATTGATTAGAAAAGATGTTATATGTTGATGTTATTGTTATATGTACAAATACTTTAAAAATTTTATACCCAACTCTGTATGTATTGAAAGCATTAAGAATTATATTTGTTTAGCGTAGACCACAGGTCGGCAACCTGCGGCTCCGGAGCCGCATGTGGCTCTTTGAACCTTCCCCTGTGGCTCCCAGTCTCCTCTGCCATTTGCAGAGAGAGACAGAGACACAGAGAGGCAATTGCGTTTCCCTGCTTCTCTCTCTCTCTGTGTGTTTTTGTGCTTGTGTGTGTGTGTGTATGTGTAAAAGAGAGTGCACTCACAGTGTTCTCCGAGGAGCTGAAAAGCTTACTGGGTGGAGCTCCTCGCTTTGCTGCGTCTCTGCAGGAAGCAGGAAGGGCAGGAGAGCGCTAGCTAGCCCAGCTAGGCTGACTCAAGAATTCTGGGAGTTGAAGTCCATGAGTCATAAAAGAGACGAGGTTGCCTACCCCTGAGCTTGTTGGAGAACAGCTTGAATCCAGCTTGCTAGGTGAGCAGCAGATAGGAGAGGGGGAGAGAGAAAGAGAGAGAGGAAAGAGAGAGAGAGAAAGAAAGAGAGTGGAGGAAGAGAAGTGGCAGACCAAGGGCAGATAGAGAGGGAGGGAGGGAGGGAGAGAGACAGAGAGAGAGAAACCCTTTTGACATCTAAAATGAAGGTAACACTGCATGTATCCTTTTTTACACACAAACGTACACACGTACACACATACACACAAACACACACACACATCTATAATAAAGGTAAAAAATGTTATATGCAGTGTTATCTTCATTTTAGATATCAAAAAGGTTTTGCGGCTCCCGGCGTTTTGTTTTTGATGGGAATGGGTCCAAGTGGCTCTTTGAGTGTTTTTGGTTGCCTACCCATGGTGTAGACAAAAGAATATTACTGGAAAAAGAAAGGATCAAGGAAATATATTATCATCTAACATATTGATCAATTATAGAAATTATTGCTTTTAAGTACATGAACCTATAGAACACATTGTTCACTAAGCACTAAAGATTATTATTGTAAAAAGTTAATAAAATATATTTTAAAAAAAGAAAGTAGAATATGGATAAAGATTTTTTTCTCTGAGCTTGTGGGGATCCCCTAAACCAGGGGTAAGCAACCTTGGGTACATGGGTAGGCATAGCTGGCTCAAGAATTCTGGGAGTTGAAGTCCACAAGTCATAAAAGAGCCAAGGTTGCCTACTCCTGCCCTAAACACTGCTGAAGATGTTACCTAGCCTGGTAATGAAACATTTGGAAACTAACCCACAAGCTTGGAGAACAAACCTTCACCCTCATCCTGCACCCGAGCTACACATATTCGCCACTATTGCCAAGTAGAATACACTGGATCACACTATTTACATTTTTGGAATGTGATATGTCTAATGTTATATTTACATTTAATATTAAACACTGTAATACCTTAAATACCTACAGTGCTGTATAGGTTAATAGAAATCAAGAAAGCCAAGAAATTGAGATGCAAAAGATTTTATTTTAAAACTATTTTTCTGAACAAGCTGAGTATAGTACAGTTAAGCTTTATTCATTTGTGGCACTTTTCCACACAACTATTAAAAGACCTCAGCTTATGTCTGTAAAACATCGGGGTAACCTGGAAAGTGAAATAGGATTAAATATCTTGGTGTAAATTGCTTCAAGGTTATTTCAGCTACTGCTCAAAATTCTGACAAGAAATGAATTTATTACAGAATAAATTTTGTGACACACACTTCATATGCTTCTGTGATGAAATCCATGTTACTGCAGGTAATTGAAGTGATATGACATTTGATTCCATTGGATTGCATATGCTGTGCATACCATTGATAGGTTAATCCTTTATTATTTGTGTACAGCCGGACAAAAAGGTCAGAAACCTGCTAAGAAAAACACTGGATGTCAACTAAAGCAGCACTGGTACTGCATTTAAATGACCAGAGTCTCTGGACATTTCCCTTAACTTTCCAGATCCATAAAATAACAAAAGGACAGTAATCATAAAAAGGATGTCTAATATTATCTGTTGTGCTCTTGAAGAATAAAATGATCAATAACCTATCTTGAAGTAATCTTGTTTTGAAGAGGTATCAATATAATATAAAAACATATTATCTATGGATTATTCCAAGTGCATAAAACTAGAGTACAGACTACATATATCAATCTTGGCTGCTTATATCCCTGATTTTGATTGATTATAAACAGGGAAAATTTATACATAATTGTTTGAGTTCAGTACACTACTGGCACCACCAATTCCACTTGTATTCAGCTGAATGTTATTAGAATTTTATTGCAGACCTTATTATTAATCAGTAAGGTTCTGCAAAGTATTCAAGAGAGGTGCTCTGCAAAATGTGTTGGCCCAAATGAAATATACTCAGACTATTAAAGGAGCTGCATCCTTTGTAAAGAATGCATAGCTGCTTAACTGCAAGTGCAAGTCCCAAGTGCATGCATGAATACTTTCCCTGGCTTTACCCATGTGCAGAAAACTATGGACAGCCTTCAAAAGGATGCAGCTGTCTTAAAGCTTTCTTCATTCAGTTTTGTATGGTCCAACTACCCTTGTCAAAGAATTACTACAGGGGTGTCACGGGCCGGAGGCATCATCGGGAAACCACTGCCGGCAAAGATGTCATGTGAACTCACAAGTTTGACATGTCTGAATTACTGGAAAGGGTTACAAACAGAAAAATAAAAGCAGAAGATAAAAGATATGGTTCTATATTTATTTTAGATTGTAACAGTAAAACATAAAAATGCATACATATTTCTGTATTTCTTTGAATCTGTGCAGTTTGAGAAAGGAAAATACATTTTTAGAACGCTTGTATGTTTATACTATATAAAGTAGAAATATTAATTTAACTTCATATGCATATTAGGCATATTAATAATTGAGATTGTACTCCACAATATGTGATGAACTTAACTAGTAATAATTTCTTATTAAAAAATGGTGAAAACTAAATCAACCCAATGAAACAGGCAACAAATCAGTGGTTTCTTTTAAAAGGTTTATTAGGCTAACATTGCTATGAAAGTTAGTGTGCAATTTTAAAAAACACTATTAATATTTCAGCACATAAAATATCCATATCTTGCTTGCCCAATATACAGTTTTTGGATCAAATTAATATGGAGTGCACGTATTTATTATGACTGTTTTTCCTCATCTTAAGCACAAACGGCCTTACAGATCAATGGAAAATGAAAACAAGTATTCTTTATGACTCTGACCTTCAATCAGCTGTTACTGATAACACTCAATTATTGGAGTTGCTTACAGCATAAATAGCATACAATTTCAAAAACAGGAAATGAAAGACACAATTGTAACTGAACAATTGTATGGTAACCAATTAAAAAAAAACGTAAAACCTTCACTTTGTGTTAGAAGTCCTGTCCAGCAGGACATACATTAGCAGCAGAATACTTTCCTTTTGTGTCTTGAATATTATATATGTGCATGCATAGTCCACATATTGTTCAATTAGGGTATGTTCTACATTCATTAGGGCATGTTTATTTCAATACACGTAGTTCATATGCAATATAGAAAAGAAACTGTACAGGCCATTTTTAAACCAAAAGGCACTTGCTTAGAACAATATAAAACATTTTGGATGCAGCTTCAAATAACATGAACAAGAATTAATAGCCACTGGCATACCAATGTAAATGTTCAGAAGTATACTGGGAAAATATTGCCTCAAATTTGTTAGTGAAATACTGTACATTACAAAGCTGAAACACAGTTGAGCCTAGAAAATATATTGCTTCTTAATATGCTAAATTTGTATCTAAAATACTATAGTTGAATCATTGTCATAAAAGTTGAATGGCTATTATCCATTGATAACAGCCATGAATCTCTAAATGGAGACCCCCTTTAAAGAAGCAGTTTGCTAATATGCTGGGGACAAGTAATAATTATTGTGTTTGTGTCCTGTGTTTTGCATTTCAAAAGTATTAAATATTATTGAAAACAATTCTTGGACTAAATAGAGCTTCAGCCTGAGCCATCAAGTTAATTCTTATAAATAAAAATAGGATGGCATGGGCAAGGATTGATTTCAATAAATACAAATATTGTATGTTGCCTCTAGTACTTAGTGGATTTGCAAACTCTAGATTTTGGATTATGAGTAATTATCACGCTTCAGAAGGGCAAGCTTTTCTTCATGGTATAACTACTATAAAAGAATAATTGATATAGTGGGTTCATGATGCTGAAAGAGGCCAGTGTGTCATACTGCAATGCTACAATTTCTTTCATTTCTCATTTTATGAAGCATTTTCTCCATTATCTGGCTTAATGGAGGATTGGAAGTAATTTTATGCAATGCACACTATATTATTGATAAGTTGCTTACTTCTAAAACTTCCATGCAAAGAAGTGATTTTATGCTAAAAGCAAGAGTTGTTTAACTTGGATTAATAGGATATAACAAGGACTAGGAAGAGTAACGCTTATCAAATTTAGTTTTGTCCATGTTTTTTAGTATTATGAAAATACAGATGGAATATTTTGAGAGTTTTCAGAAGAAATACCAGCCAGATGAACAATTTTATATTGAAAGTCTCAAATTCAAGGTAAGGAAAATTTATGGGATCACATAAAACATCTTACTGAATATTTCTAGGTAAATATTCAAATATTCAATGACATATATACAGCACCAAGATATTCAGGAGATGGAAAGGAATAAATCTCTGCTCTTAGGATGCAAAATATTTTTTAAGCAAAATGTGGATATACCGAACTACTTTTTAAAATCTATCTTCCCTCATCTAGTGGCTATTTATATCTTTTCAATTCAACATACGCACACCCATGCAGAAAAAAATGTAATATATGATTATCTATCTGTCTGTCTGTCTGTCTGTCTGTCTGTCTGTCTGTCTATCTATCTATCTATCTATCTATCTATCTATCTATCTATCTATCTATCTATCTATCTATCTATTTATCTTGTTCAGTTATTTTTCTACCGAACAAAGGCACTTATGCAAAGAGGACATATCCATTGGAAAAAACAAAATATCCCTCTGGTCTAACTATAATTATATTGCCTTCTGTTCATACTTTTTATCAGGAAAGGGCAATTTCCTTATGACTGGGACCCTTTAAAATTTCCAGGCAACATAGCTGATTTTATCATTTGAGAAACTAAAATCTTGGCTCTTTTGAGTGTTTTAAATCTGACTTCCTTGGTCTCTCTCTCTCTCTCTCTCTCTCTCTCATACCTGGGGAAAAGGGTGGATGATGGGAGGTTCTGAAGTGAAATTTTCTTATCCCAATGGGTTTTACTGAACAAATTTCACCTTTATTTTACCCCAAATTGCATTAAAGGTCAAGAAATTTCACTACACTCAGGGTTGCAAAACCTCTGCTTAGTATTCATTCTTCATGGTTTTAAATCATTTTAATGGAATTCTGCATGTCTCTAATAACCCCCAGTATTATTAAAAATGTTCCTCACGTCCACTTTATACAGAAAATATGGGTTAGAGGTAAAAATTGCATATGTATCCAACTTTCCTCCCTCTTCTCAGTAAAAATTGTAGCATTGTATTCCTGAAAGCTAATCCTGATGTGAGAGAGATCAGGAACTACAGAAGGGGCAGGAAAAATTAACTGCCACTAAATTAAAGTCTTTAATACAAACTCTTATAGAAGATTACAGAAAAAGAAAAATAGAGACATTGATTCTGAAACATGGGGAGAACACAGATGTTTTTATTTTATTTTTTACCACAGGAAGTATACTATTTCAGATTTGCTTTGTGTCAATTAGTCCACCACTTCCTTTCAGAAATAATCTTTATGATTTTTATAATCAAATAAAATATTTTACAGCACAAAAGTACATATAGGCCCAAGTGTAATTTTAACACATAATAGGTTGTTTAAATAAATTAAAACAAACAAACCACCTTTCCTTCTCACATAGTTAGGATTTCATATGGAACTTATTTGGAAATGTTACACAGAGAAGCTATGAAGATAGCACATAACATTGGCAATGCATTAAAAAAAAGATTATGGATGCCACACAGGAATAAAAGACATATTCACTCCCTTGTATCTGAAACTTTTGTATATGACAGCAAGTGTAAATTAATGTGCTATATACTCGTATTAATTGGTACTCTACAGTTTGCAACATTCCGTGTTCAGGTCCTACTGCCATACAAAATAATACACTTCAGAGAAGCAAATGAGTAAAGCAAAAACTTACATAGCTGACATCTCTTGATGGGAAATGAAGTAATTTCCTCCCATGAGACAGAGCTGATCAGAACTATCAGATCTGATGCCACAGAATTACTATACATGTAATGGAGGGTTTTCTTATCTAGCATATTTTGATACTAAGACGCATTCAGAAAGACAACACAATCTCAGAAGCCCTTTAAAGGCTTTAAATCAGCACTATTGGAGGGAAGCATAAATGGATATTTGTTAAAATATACAACTGTATATTTTAATAAAAGGTTGCCTGACATTTTCATAGATTAACATCAGTAAAACAAAATGTGTTCAATTATTCACCTGCTTTTTTCAATATGTTGGATCCATAAAATTACAGGGCAGCTTCCTCTGTTTTTAACAAAAACTTTGAATGGCATCATCTTTAGAAAAAAAGCAGGCAAGCATCAATACAGATATCAACCGTAACACCACCTAAAGTGAGATAATATTTCTTATAATTTGCTGAATGTACCAGAAATGGGAATAGTGCTGTTACAGTATATGACTACAACATCTTGTTTTTTTTAAAAAAAAAAATCTATTCATTAATGTAGACAATGCACTAAATGAATAGTTCTAAAGAACGTGCTCTAGAAATAATATATATGTAGCCAAGAACTGCACTGCATTGTGATTATGGTTTTTATAAGGTAAGTTCATTTACTGAAAATGTCCAAAAATAGCACAGTAGTTGGTTACAATCAGAGATAGCCCATTTGCTGAAACCAAACACAAGCTAAATATCAAATGGATCCAGAATGTTAGTAATTTCTCCATTAAGATGAAATCCTCATGCAATTTAGTATTTTACTTTAAATGTAAATACAATTCTATTTGGCAAATATATATTTTAAAAAGCACTGGATAATCTAATCTTCCTGGAGTTGACATGTTAATTATATAGCAATCAGGAGCTTAGAATAGTCGATAAATACTTGAGTGGCACAATATCATTCAAGCTTTTCTATTTTTCACTGTCAAACTAAAAAAGAGTTATATCCTAAAAAAGAAACTTTTAAATAATTTAAATATTTCAAGTCTTTTGCTTTGATAAAGTTACATTATATATAAATAAAATAATGAAGATGATTTCCTTACTATAAATAAGGAAAAGCTAAAGACATGGGGGACAACAGTAATTTAAACTGGAACAACTTTTCTCAGAAAAGCACCAAAGAACAAGCCAGAAATTGTGTAAGAGAAACACAATATTTATAATAGTCAAAAAACAATTCAGAAAAATCCCAGAAACAATCCACAATTATTCAATGATTGTTAAATTGAACATGTTCACAGATATGTAGTTAAGGCTGACTGAAGTACAATTTGTAAAGATTAATAAACACTTTATAGAAAGCTTCTAATGCATATGCTATTTTATGGGATAGTATCTCATTTTGGGGTGAATTCACTAAACTAAGAATAACTACAGGATTTGACTGAAATATTTCTTCAAGCAGTATATTTTGTTAAAAGTTAAGAATTAGAATGGGAATAGAGGTTCAATTTTAAATTTCTTATAGGCATAATATGCATACATATTTGTGTCTTGTTTATTTTAACATATCAACTTTTTCAATACCATTCAATTTACTTCCAAGATGCCATTAAAAAAAAGACATGCATTTATCCAGTGAAAGTAATCCACTTATAGAAGGTTCAGCTTCCATAAATAAGATTATCTTATGTGGTCCCAAATGTGCAAACATGAATGAAAAAGACTGCAGCATTTCATAAGGGTCCACCCTGATATTTCAAATGCAGAATCTGTATGCAAAATCATTGATTGTTCTATCAAGACCTGATATTCTATTCTAGCCAAATCGGCCAGCTGATAAACATTTGTCTTTGCACATAATTTCTAGACAAAAGCCAAAGAATTACTATATAGGCAGTATGTTTCACAAGGATAAAAGAAGGGGGAAAATATGGAAGCATTGTAGGAAAAGATAATTCTTAAATGACATTGCTTTAATGTATTCCGCACTACAAATATCAAATCCAACCATAACTTGGATGTCTGAATGTTAGTAATAAAAAAACGTTTTCACAAAAGCATCTGACATTATAAAGACTAAAATCCCTGAGTAAATCAAAGATAATAGATACATTTGGCCTGAGAAAATAATTATTTGGGATTAAGTATACAATCTTAAAAAAAGTTTCTTAAGGCAACATCCAACTTTGATAAACACAATAAAAGAAAAACATACTAAACAAGCTAAAAAACATTAATCATATATAGTTGAATGCAGATTTGCGTTAACAGCGGACCCATTGAAATAAAATGATTAAAGTAGTTCTAACTAATTTAAAGCCCATTAATTTCAACAGTTCTAATCTTATTTTTCAATAAATAAAAATTATGTTAAAATGCAATGTCTCATTAGGGACTTCCCAAAATCAGTTCAATTTTAATGGTGAAAAGGCAGTAAATTTTGGTATTATTTGGGATTAATAGAAAATGATTCATGCAAAACAGAATTTAAAGTGAATATATTTAACAAATTAGAGACATTAATTTACTTCAGTGAAGTCAACTCTACAATGAATTCAGATTATATACTACAGTTGATTTTATACTACTCCACTTAAAAAGTTTTGCTAAAATGTGTACAGGTTCCCTTCCTGTACAATGCATGGAGCTTATTTGCATTATTATAGACTGATTTCAAGAAGAAAGGATTTGCAAAATAACCATTTTCAGTAATACTGTCTTACTTTTTTAAGGATTTCCAATAGTGAAAAGAAGTATTGGTACCTTAGATTGAATCATGCTGTCCATAGAATACAAATGGAAGTCTCAACATTGACTCATGGAAATGGAAAAGGTGATTTGGCCTCTGTCACCCAAGCCAAAACAACGTAAGAGAGAGAGAGATTGCACTTGAGCTGCAGGTCTTCAATGAGTGAATGATCCTTCTTCTCACAGTAGAACTACTTCAGTGACTTAAAGGACACTTTTAAAATTCAGTTCTTAAAAGACTAACTGCATACCATGTTCTCCATTTCCCCAACATTCCCTTCTATGCTACTCTGGGCATAACAGAAAAACTTAAAAAAATATCATTGATCATTTTTATTCCTAAATATGTTAGCCTATTATCATTTTAAATTTTAAATTCAATAAATGGTTATTATTTTAAAAGCAAAAGAAGAAAAAAATGTTATTCAGATAACTGCTCTTGAACTCAAATATATCATTCAGTTTTGTTGTAACAGATTTTAAGAAACTTAGAATTTTACTGGTACTCTTTTAACTCAATTACTTAATTCAGTATGTGTATATGGGCCAACTTAGGTATACAATAACCTACTTTATGACACTTGGTGAACTGTACAGAGAACTGTAGAGAAGCTTGAGTATTCTGAGTCGATACAAAAACATAGAGATTTCACCCAGTAGTCATGATCCTGGGATGAATCATGATATGGCAGACAAATCAGTAAGGTCTGCATTTTTCCTCACCATTATGAAGAACCAGACAAACTGGCACTGGGTTTTAATTGGCCTTATATTAAAAATCTTTTCTGGAACTACAGGCATTCCTAGATATTCCTAGGTAAGAACTGGAAACACAGTTTTAGACAAACTGATACAGTTTGGTGGAAATGTAATATAGATTTCTTCAGAGCAAAGTATTACTTTCTGCAATGGACTTTGCTGAACACTGTGAAGAACTATCTTAAGAATGATTGTTTCATTTCCTAGCTCTTTATCACATCTTGTTTTCTGTGGCATACTAGGTATGATCATGCTACTGTCTTGCGGTGTGAATATGTATGACAAAGTTTGCATTGCATCAGACACTACAAAACAACCATAAAGATCAGGTTTTTGTCTTTCTCTAATTAAGTCAGAGAGAGTGACTTGCTTACACAATCCAACACTATAAATGGATGACATTATCTCCCAAAGATCCAAGTTAATTCTTCCAACTTTTTAAACAGTACTAAAGTATGAGATATTGATGCCGTTCTAATAATTTCTCATTCCGATTCTGGATATCTGTCAACAGCTAATAATATGGTTTCATTATTAGGCAAAATTTCACATCTAAGACAATTACCGCATTCAGCACCAGGTGGAATCAATCATACTGTTGATGATCATAATAGTCATTTAACAGAATACTTTTAATCAACTGCCAGAAAGAAACTAATTTCTGAAGAGAAGTCACCTTCACTCAGATTGCTTCTGTAAAAGTTCCAGAATTATTGTTAATAACTGGGGGAAATGTTGCTGGATTATATAATCAGTTCATGAACTCATCAGTAGATAGGCATTTACAGTGCAGATATAAGCTGTTCAAGAAAGAAGAGCTGAACTAAACCTTAGGCAGTTGGATTGAGAGTTTAAAAAAAAAAACAACTGTCTGAGGCCCCAGATCTGAGCAGAATTCTGGCTTGTCTTTAGTAGTGTACTGTGCAATAAGAATATGGCAGATGACCCCTAATCTCTGCTAGGGCTATGATATCAAGATAGTTAACCAGCATTCTGTTGCTGTTATTTTGCAGGATCAGCTCCATTCAGCTGTACAACTCTTCACTCGTACCAAGGCATTTCTGTTTGTGGTCTTTTCTTCTTCTTTTTACAAAGGCAATAGATGGGGAATACAAATAAACCTATTAAAAACAAGAGAAATCATTGCATTTTAAACATATGCCCACAATATCACTGTTGTTGTTGTTAATTGCGAAGTCATGTCTGACCCATCACAACCCCATAGAAAACGTTCCTCCAGGTCTTCCTGTCCTCTATCTCTACCATATCACTATACAACTATATTTTGAACTGGAATAAATGTACTCTGGTGAAGTCAAGAAAAATTCAGTAACAGTGCACATAACTGTTATTCTTCAGAATTCTCATCTGACACACGTAACTAGACTCATGTTATCCTACTTTGGACATACTATGTGAAGACCCAGCTCTTGGAAAAGGCTCTGATGATGAGAAAAGTGAAAGAGATAATGATGACAAGGTGGCATGGCAAGGTGAATGGACTTAATTAAATGGACAATAAGTACACCATTGGGAGACTTGAAAAAACAGATTATGGATAGTTCATTATTGAGAAAATCTATCAGTGTGGTTGGATAGGAGTTGAAAACAACTTGTTACCTCATAATAAAAAATGCTTCCTTCAGAATACTGAATTTAAGAATACTGTTTTATTCAGATTTGTATCGCTTTTCTTTCAAGAGCTCAGGGTCATATATAGCACATTTTCCTAAAAAGCCTGCTCATAACTACCTGTGACGTAAACTGGAGCCAGCATAAAATCATCCAGTGAGTATATACATGGCTGAGAGGAACATGGATTCATGAAAGCATGAATAAAAATAACTATTCAGGAATAAAACTGAAAATGCTATACTAAAAGTAATTACATTGTAAAATATAACATTATAAAAATAAAAAGTTGGAAAATGAAACCATTTTCCAACTTTGCCATAGACCCAATTCAAAACTAGAACGTGTTCTTTAGTTACAGCATATTAAAATTTAAAGAGCTCCAAAAGTAAAATGAAGTTCCTGGAATTTTGCAGTGTGTTATAGGACCACCAATATCTTTAATCTGTCTAAGGACAGTATTCATTGACAAAGAATCTTAGGAATAAATAATATTGGGCATTTGAAAACAATCTGTAAACATTTCAGTTAATAAGCAAGGTGAATTTACAGAATGTACCAAAAAAAATTGCTCAACTTTCCCTCACGATGTTTTTTTTAAAGTTTTGACTGTGAAGATCTAGCAATATCCTTTCAGCTAAATCTATTGGGAAACAAAGTAAAGGTATGTTACAAGAAGAAGAAGAATCAGGAAAAAAAATATTATCTACCTATACCACTGAGACGTTATAGTGGATCAGAATCCCTTCAATTCATGAAAACCTAATGTAATCCAAACTACGGTAATACAATTAAATGAATTATGTGAACTGTTACTTGCAAATATTAAATATAATCAATATCTGTCTTCCCAATGTGCAGTTACAGAATTGTAGGTGTTATTTATAGATAAATAAATGGAAGTTGAATTTCAGGAATTAGAAAGAGAGAGAGAGAGAGAAAAAGTTAGTTAATTGTGCTTTTAAATGAATTTCCAAGATCTCAATATCAGATAACTCTGAAACCTTTCTTCTTTCCCCATTTATACTTTCTTTGAATTCAATATGTTCCAGAGTTTGAAAATTATGTAATTCAAAACATACCTTTTTTTCTTACCTATTAGAACAACTACAGCTCCTATTACCAGTCCCAAAACCAATATTACTGGTGCAATAAGTAACTTCCCACCTGAAAAATAGAATTTTTTTTTACAGATTGTGAGATACTTCAAACCATGCTATTTTAATTTCTGCTGGGAACAAACTAATAAAAATAAATAAACAAACAAACATTAAAAATTTAAAGAATATGCATACCATTTACTTACATGAGAAAATGCTGAAATGTTTTCCCTTTGGTGAAAGTAATTATACCCTTTAATGGAAAAAAGCACATTAATTTATGCAACCTATGGGCGATTCAACTCCAAAACTGGAGAGCTAACTGCAGTTGCACACAAGGAAGTGCATCTTCATCAGAACTAGGTTATGGGAATAAAACTGAACTTTCCTTATCTTCTCAATAGAAACTACCCTAGGATTAAATTTCAAAATGACTCATGAGACCAAAAATCACACAACTAATTCAATGTGTAATTATCTCTTTACAAAACACATTACAAAACCCCAAAGTAATTGTATTTTGAAATTATGGGATCTTCCACTTTGGGTTTTCTTTTCTCTCTGAAGAAAAGAGACTAATAGACAGTAAAAGTGCACAATCAAAATCTACTGTTTATTTATTTATTGTAATATTACAACAGTGGATTCCATATATGTCTACCTCTGTCTCTATCTCTCTGTCTCTATCCATCCATCCATCCATCCATCCATCTTTGGAATCCACTGTTATAATGTCACCATTAAAAGATTCCATGTCATTATTTTTGAAAAGTACATAAAATCCAAGTACCTGATAGGATCAGTCATGGCTACAAAATATTGAAATGGTTCCCAGAACCCCAACTCTATTAGTCTTTTACTGCAAACAGAAGCCTTGCAGCATTTTCCAGGGTGGCACATTTATTCTTGCACAAAGTAAGGTCAGCCCCACAGCCTGGCATTCAACCAAGAGTTGGCTGTTCCAGAAAGTCTTTGTATGGGTCCTGTCTTGCAGTAGGCCAGTGTTTCCCAAACTTGACAATTTTAAGGCATGTGGACTTCAACTCCCAGATTCCACAGCCAGCGTTGCTGGGAGTTGAATTCTGGGAGTTGAAGTCCACATGCCTTAAAATTGTCAAGTTTGGGAAACACTGCAGTAGGCAAATGCTGCTGTAGGACTCTTCCTCGGTGACTTAATGGCTAGAACAGGGGGGAGCAATTAATTTTCCTATTGGGCGCATATGAGAAACTGGGACTGTTACCCCTAGGGTCAGAGTGGGACCATCTGTGGGCTGGATGTGGCTCACGGCCTGTAAAAGGACCAAATTTGAACTAGAAAATTAACTGCCACTAGATTCTGGTAGTTTTGTTTGTTTTCCTCTCTTAATTCTTTCAATTTTACTTTTCTATTATGGAACACCACTCAGAACTTGACCACAATAGTTTGTGCAATAAATGAACTTGCTGGTGTTTTAATTATCACCTATTTAATTAATGAATATTCTCTGAAATACTGTACTTCCCAACTTTAAACTATCAATGAAAATGTCTGAAGGTGTATGTGTTAAAAATAAAAGGGCAGTTTTTGCATGTTCAACAGACTCTTAAGACTCTTAAAAGTTTATAAATTTAAAACAGACATTTTAAAAATCTCTAAACATCTACCTTGATGGCCAACTATGGCCTGAATTTCCAACATGACATCCACAGTTCCACCATGGTGCCACCATGGTGCCAAGTGTCACTTGATTTACTAATTTATTTTACGTCCATTTAATTGAAAAATAATAATTAGTGGAAAGTTAGCATGTTATTACAAAAGTATCAGCTTCAGTCAGAACTACAGGCTACTGGGCTCTGCATAGGCCCCAGAAATATTCTTAGAAAATAAAAACTGAGTTTTGTTTGAAAGTATGTTCACTTACAAGTTTATTGTTTAAATCTACTGATGAGACACAGTATATAAATTAGGCAGATTAAAGAGGAACATGGTACATAACTCACAGCCACAGTGACTTATTTTGAAAGGGGAAAGAATCAAAGATGGTAAAATGTAAACTAATTCTTTCTGTTATCTTTTTCTTTCCCCTTTTATATACGTTGTAACAGGACTTAAAAATACTTCATATGAGGTGTGGAAGGAAAATACCATTTCTCCGCTTTTTTGCAATACTTAATTTTGGATAAGAAGTTTACTCCATTCCTACTGGTGATCACGGCTTCATATATATTTTTTAGAAAAATTAAGATTAAGTTTACATTGCAAAAGGTTTGTTGACATTTAGCATGCTGATATTTTTCACAATTTCTGTCTTAAATGCTCATTGCCATTTTAAATGTTTACTGGTGTTCTGCTACATGCCTTCCTATAATTGACTGCATTCCATTTCATTTCAATTGTTTTATGTAAAAAGTTATTATCTTTTCTTTCCTGGGATCCTGTGGGGCAGACATTGTGTTGTAGAAAAAGCAGACAGCGCCACTCTTAAGCAAACAAGCTAGCAGACAGCACAGAGTATAGACAACACTACAGTAGGCAACAAAGAACAAAGCTGTTAAGAGATAAAATAAACTTCCCCCAGTGGCTTTTATCAGAGGCTGCATTCCACCTATTGTAACATAAATGCCCAGGTTTTATAAATATTATAACATATTATCCAATTGGTAAGTAGTGCAAGTCAGCTTGTATTGTAAATATGTAAACAGTTAATAAAAGTCTCTGTTCTGGATTATTGTCTCTGGGTTATTGTCATCTGATTCTGTGGGACAGATGCATTGATTGTTGTTAAAGAAGATGCAATACAATCTTTTTTCTTTATAGCATTTAAAATAACTTGGTGCCTCAAGTGGAATTGGAAGGGGTTGAATCGTAAACAAATACTTATGCCCACAAATGATTTCATCCTTGCCCTCATTCCTCTAAGATCCACTCTGCAAATGGTAAAGATAAAATATGGATACCCTGGCAAAAAGAAAAAGGCCCAACATCCTGGGTGACTCCAGTGATACGAGCTCAGTGATTGGTCTTTAGACCTTAAATTCTTAAATATCTTAAATTCCATCCCTGAATGTGGGATCAAAAAGACTGAAACACCTGAATCACTGACCCAGCTAATGCAAAAATAATTATGGAAGAGAGAGGGTAAACTATGGACATTGATGGAATGGATGGACACCTAATTATTGGGTATAAATACCTGTGAGTCAGATAAATATTTTTTATTTTAAAAGACCAAGAATAGATATAGGTAGAAGTATGATGAAGATATCAAAGCAAAAACATCCGATGTAAGCAGCAAGGGAAAAAAATGTTAAGAGAAAACAGGAGACAGATTAAAAGCCTACAGAAAATAAATAGCCAATTAAAAATCAAACGTTCCAAGTTGATTAAAATAAAACATGTTAACAGAGATCAGTGTGCGCATGCCTACCCTGGGTATATTTTACGTACTACAGTTTGGCCATCCCTGGCTCAAAAGGAAGTACTGGTGGCAATGTTAACAGAGCTATAACTGTATTCACCTGTTCAGAGGAAGTGATTATGCAACTAATTCAGACATACAATTTCTATTCAGATTTGGTAAACACCACATCCTTCACAAAAGTATGAAGAGGGAGAATGGGGTACCAAAACATATCTTTGAGAATAGCCTGGGGCTGAATAATTAGGCCCATTTGTATATGCACAGACTGGATTCCAAATGATCTGCACAATATGGTTTTACAATTTCCTAAAATTAATGCAGCCCTAAGAAATTTAAGTCATATTTTATTTTATGACCATACATGGGCTGATACTAATCAGTTGTCATGGCTACTTTAGCTCAAGACCAATGCACTGAAATAAAATTTTGGGGTTCTTGGTATTCCAACTCCCATGATGTACTGGAGGTGTGTGTTGTTGGTTAAAGCTACTGATGAAATGTTTTTCATTTCATCTAACTGCATCAGAATTAATTCTTGTAATAGAAATTACTCAATTTATGGTATGAAACCATATTACAGATATGAAACCAATATGTCAGTATTAATAACCCTGCTCAAGCTTTCTCCTATGTCAGCGGTTCTCAACCTGCGGGTCGCAACCCCATTTGGGGTCGAACGACCATTTCACGGGGGTCGCCAAACAACGCAGTCTGCCATTTTTCCCCCCTTTTCCTTAGCTGTGCTACTCCCTTTTATTCTATTGGCTTTTGAAAGCCAATAGAATAGACTCTCTTGAATAGAGTCTAATTCTATTGGCTTTCAAAAGCCAATAGGAATTGTCCAGGCTGTCTCTGCCCTGCTGAGCCCGCCAAAAGTCCCATTCTGCAAACGGTGCTGCAAGTTGTCTGCAGCGAAGGCGAGCTGTCTGGAAGTTTCCACCCCTCCCTGCTGAGCAACTACTAAAAATGTAAGTAAAAGAGAGCCAGGGGTGGGAGGTGGGAGGCTGGCGGGCCACAGGGAGGGTTGCTGGCGCGTGTGGGGCCCGGCGGGTGCCTTACCTCCCTTGGGCTGGGCCAGCTAGTGGCCCAGCCGGTGGTCGGCCTGCTCCATCTCTGCCGCTTGCCAGCTACGCCTCGGCTCGGCCGGTGCAGGGGGCGGCACCACGCATGTGCGGCGCTCCCGGGCAGGGAAAGTCCTCGACTTATGACTGGTTGGGTAGTCCTCGACTTATGACCGGTTGGAGGTCGCGGCCTTAAAAAGGTTGAGAACCACTGCCCTAGGTTCTAGCTGTGGCTTTTAAGAATAGACTTTTGTTGTGTTTTTAAATCTAGGTAAAATTAATTAAATTCAATTTGGAAATAAAACCCTGAAGACATGGGGAACATAACTATTCATTGCAGCCACCTGAAAATTTTCTCCAGTGCTTATGACAGCACCACCCATGTGTAAAATCAGAGAAATGTGCAATTGACACATCAAGGTTGAATTCCTAGATTACTTTACTATCCTTTGATCTCTGCAGATAATGGGAGATGACCTTGAGACAAATATGCAAGACTATTACATAAAGAGAGATAGCTGATACATTTTATAAATCCTGGGAAGCAAAGTATTATCTGGAAGATGCTCAGGCTGGGATCTCTCTGATTCATTAAGGTTTAA